CATGCGTGTCTCCAGAGGGAAACGGCACTGACCAAGGCCCGGGAGTCAGTGTCCACGTGGTGACATGCCATGGACAACTGCTGCACCGCGACCTGCATGGCTTCTTTGATCAGGACCTTCGCAAGGTCACCCTGGTGGTTTGGGAGGGTGGAGGTGACGTTGTGGAGGCGCTGCATAATAAAGTATTGATATCGCGCCAACGTTGCCTCATAGTTAGAAATGCGAAGTCCTAAGCCCGAGGCAGCATAGACCCGCCTGGTCAGGGGATCTATTTTCCGGCCCTCCTTATCCCTTGGCACCGTAAGTCCCCTCGCCTCCCTGCCTTGCGAGGATTCGACGACCGCCAAGTTTGGTTTCGGGTGCTTTAGCAGGAAGGGGATGTCTTCTTCCCTGACCCTGTACATAGATTCATATCTCCTGGACGTCGGTTGAGGATGTGGAGGTAGGTCCCAGGGCTGCATCATTGCCTGCCGCAGGGTAGTTATAAGTGCCAGAACGACAGAGGTCGATTGCTCCCCACGGACGACGTCGTAAAACTTATCCGTCGACGGTCCTGGGCGCTGGGCAGCGTCGATGTCCAGGGACTGGACAAGCCTCGACATCAGCTCCACGAAGGAGACGTGTGACTCATCGGGTGACACAGGATCCTGGGATGTCACCACGACGTCCAGGGAGGTTGAGTCTACATCAGAGTCATCCGAATCAGCACCATAGTATGGCGAGGCAGAAGATGATGACTCCGCCGGTGATAGGGAGCGGCTGCTTCCGCTTTGCGGGGATCGAGGCGTACCCTCCTCGAATCCACAGACCGCGGTTGGTCACGGGGCGGAGGTGAGGATCGCGCTCTGGGAGCAGGGTAGTATCCCACAGAGAGCGGGTCTCCCCAAGGTTGGCAGTAGGGACGACACCAACTCTCCGGGCGTTGCTCTACCGAGCGACTCCTCTGATTCCCTGGTGGGGACAGGCCAGCTTCTGTCTCCAATGTCACCGTGGGCATTGGTGTCGGTGACCTCGCTCTGGGAGGGGAGTTCTGAATTTCCCCATCCGAGATAGACCCCCGTAGAGTTGGAAGGGGTGCTGGCGGGAGGTCGACCGCACATCGGGGAGACCCCTGAGGGGTAACCCGCATAGCCTCTTGAAGGATCAGTTCGGGCGGGGTCGGTATCGTAACCGCCATCGGTACTGAAGGGCCCGTCGGCTCCGAGTCCCAATTTTGGGAACGATCTGTAGACTTAGCCTTCTTTGGAGGCTTAGAGGCCTTTTCCTTTCTGGCCTTCTTATGGCCTGCCGGCTTGTCTTCGGCATGTTTGCACTTCTCATGCCTCTTTTTTGGTGAGGCAGAGGGGGCCAGCGAAGTGGACGCACCTTCATCCGAAGGGCGTGAGGGTGGAGCCACAGAAGCAGAGCCCGGTTTTGGGATAGAGATGAGCGCGTCTGATTGCATCAGGGCCCTATCCCAAAGGAGCCTCCGAAGCCAGTTTTCGCGGTTCTTCCGCAAAAGGCTAGGCAAGGAACGCACTTATCCGTCCTATGCTCCTCCCCAAGGCAGAGGAGGCATAGGTCGTGCGGATCAGTAGGTGCCATTTTTGACCCGCAGTCCGCACATTTGCAGAAAGCCGCCCGCTGCGCCATTGCAGAAAAAGGAAGAAAAGAGAGATAGTGCAGAGGGTAAGTATATATTTTTGGTTTTTTTTTTTTAGATCGAAGAAGAAATGAGAGAAAACTACACAGAACGGGAAGCGAAGTAAGGGGAAAGTAGTTTGAGGGCAATATATAAGGAGAGAACCAAGAATAGCCAAAGCAAAAGTCGAAAGCGGCACAAGGCACAGCGAATGGCGGTCGCAAAGACTGAACAAATGGTGGACGCTCCGCTCTTTATAGCCCATGGGGGAGGGGAGCAGAGCTTCCCGCCAAAAACCGTTAGCTTTCAATCTTCCGGCCAAAGGCACTGTGCAGGCGCAGTATCCATATGTGTGATGCACAGAGGCCACGACGAAGAAAGACAGGTTCCAAGAGATTCGAACATTTGCTAAGAAAATGCTGAGCTTGTTTGGTTCAACAAACTTGTGCGAGAAGACATTCTTGGTTATGAACATTAACAAGAACCATGTGAGGACGAGACTAAGTGACTTTCACCTGCCTGACATCTTGCGCATCAAAACCACTGTTTTTGAGCCAGACCTGGCCTATATAATGCAGTCGAGATCTCAGTATCACCCTTCACATTAGTGCAGTTAAGTTATTTGTTTAGTCTTTCATAAAATAGTTCATTTGCATTTAATGTTAATGGTTCAAAGAATGTCAGGCTGAATGGTAGGCTCCCACATATTTTCATCTCACCAAATCTGGCCCTCCTTGCAAAAAGTTTGGACACCCCTGTTCTAGATGCTGGTAGAGGGGTTGAGATGGGAGCTACCTGGATTCAGATATCGGTGGGCACTGTTCAGGCATTTCTGAATGCTTCTTAGGCTTGCATGGTTTTTGTTTCGTTTTGTTTTGATACTGAGCCCATCTTGGGCACCAAGTGCTCTTTTCTTTCAGCTTCTTGGGAGCGTCAGGAAGAGAAGCTGGTTCACAGTGGTCATTTTCACCACAGAGCCATGAGTGGGCTGTTTGTTTGAGCCCTGTTTGGAGGTCAATCCCTCATATTCTCCTTGCCCACTACATCTTGCATTGTGCCAAGGGAATGCTGCCACATTGCCATCTGGAGTCGGCCAGCCCTGTTCTTGTAAGCTTGCTTTGTGAAGGCCTGGCAATGTGGGCATTTGTCTACTTGATGTTCCTTGCCTAAGCACAGCAGGCACAAAGAATGGCCATTAGTGGATGGCATTTTGACACCACAATGAGCACATCTGTGAAACACCAGTTTGCTGCGAGACACCAGGAGAAGGAATTTGGAAGTGATAGTTGAATAAAGAAGGTAATAATGATAGAAGGGTTTTTTAATTTTTTGTGAGCGAATATAAGACGGGGGAAGGGAAGGGTAAAAGGATAATAGAAGTAAAGGAAGTTAAGTGTCATAAACAGGTAAAAGGGGATAGTTTGTGAGGCAAATAAGAGTGTGAGGAATGACTGAAGGTTGAGTTTGTAAGGAAAATCAAAAGCTGAGGTAAAGCCAAGACAAACGCTAGAGATCCTGATGCACTCACAAATGGCAGGTGAAAGTGAACTGAAGAAATGGTGGGAGTCTGCTATTTATATAATGGAGAAGGGGGTAGGGCCCGTGGAAAGTTGTAGGCTAAGCTAGAGAAATCTTCCTGAACAGATACAGCACCCATATGTGTGATGCAGAGACCACAACGAAGAACTGGGCCTGAATTTGGGTTGTCACAACTTGAACTGATTATTCTGTGCCCTACACTCTGGTATGAGCGAGAAGAGATTTTGTCTTTCCTCTTTGTGACAGACTTTCAGGAACATATAAAGTGATATAATGTCCTCATTCGGTCTTCTCTTCTCAAGACTGAACATACCCAGTTCTCTCAGTCTCTGCTTATAGGGAATTTTTTTCAAACCCTGGATCATTTTTGTTGCTCTCCTCTGGACCCCCCCCCCCTTTTTTTGCATCTCTCTTAAATCTTTATGCCCAGAACTGGACACAGTATTCTAAATATGGTCTGACTAGTGAAGAGTACTGGGGAACCTACTTATACTGAACTGCATTTGCCAATTTGGTGTCTATCCTCTCAGTTTGGAGAAATCAGTCTGGAACACATCACAATCCCTTTTGGTTTTAACCACCCTGAAAAGTTTGGTGTCATCAGCAAACTTGGCCACTACTGCTCATTCCTAATTCCAGATCATTTATGAGAATGCTGAAAAGTATTGGTCCCAATGCAGAACCCTGTGGAGATGTCTGCTTACATCCCTCTACTGGGAGAAAGTACCATTTATTCCCACTTCCTGCTCTCTATTCTTTAACCAGTTACTAATCCATACATAAGATGACCTCACCTCTTATTCTATAAACTGCTAAATTTGTTCAAGTGCCTTTGCTGCAAGTCATTGTCAAAAGCCTTTCAGATATCCAAATAAACAGTGCTTATGGGATCACCCCTCTCCACATGCCCATAAAAACTCTCAAAGAACTGTAATAGGCTCATGAGACAGGATCTACCTTGCACTGCAATGGACAATAATGCTTTAGGAGAGAGTAAAGGAAAAAAGAATGCTTTCTTCCTCTCCCCCTTTTCAGAACCACTTGTACCCACTCTGCAGCCATGAAATTTCACCTTCACAGCAAGATCTCTCATGCTATTTAGCCCAGCCAAAGAAAGCCTTGGGAAATGGGGAAATTAAAAAGCAATGTTTTTCATGCCTTAAACTTCTTGTCACCCAGGCAACACTACAAAGTTTCTGCTCCTGCTGGCAAGAACCCTGAACAAAAGCATTTCTCTGAAGAGAGGGGATACAGAGCAAAATTTTGTACAGGCCTCACATGTAGCAGTCTATAAACAAAGACCAATCACTGATAAAACTATGCATCAATCAGGATTCAAATAAATAATGCTGCTAATTCTAACCTAGTTATAAGCAGAAAATGTCAGTTAAATGGTCCTGACAGCCTACAAATTGCTGTCACATCTAGTAGTGACTTACCCTTTGAAGGGATTTTCCCACTAATCCAGTCACTTCTTTAGTTATTTAAAACCATTTCACCTTCCTCTCACTGCATGGCTGACAGCAATTTGCTATGACTTTCGGCATCCAGCCAGGTGCTAAAAGGGAAGGATTTCCTGATGTAGATAGATAGAGCCACACACAACTATGGCACAGGGTGGGGGACAGTTCTTCCCAGTTAACAGACTTTAGAAACTGGGAGCACATGGAAGAGTCTGCAAAACTTAAGTTCAATAAGCCATATGAACAGGTTGGCTGGACAGTATCCAGCCTTTCCACTAATAGGAATTTATCCAAATGATTTAGTTCACATGTGCATATACATGCATTTACTCACTCCCCTCCAAAATATGAAATGTCATGCCAGCCTCTTAATTTACCTTTCCATCCAGATTAGCGATGCTACAGTTGCACTCTGTAGCCCCATAAAATTCCCCAATCTGTTTAATACGGAACCGTTGTGTGAAGTCTTCCCAAATGGTAGGTCTCAAGCCATTTCCTATTGCTAGACGCACTTGGTGCTGTGTTTCTGCCTCTCGCACTGGTTGATTCAGCAGATACCTGCATATCTCTCCAATATACTGGATAATCTGAAGGAAACAAGACAGACTAGATTTCAGAGTACAACCTCACAGAACCTTAAGAGAATTGGGTGAAGATACATTTTTAGAAGTTTTGAAGATGTGTGGGAAATCTGTTTTGCTGATTTGTTTCTGATTTTAGAAAAAAATGAATGCATTTAAAAAATTGTATTACCTTTAAAATAATGAACTGTTACTACAAGGGTATAGTCCTATGGAGTTGCTGCCTATTAGGCACAACTCTCCAGTCTGCAGGCTTCTGAATATCTTGGGTCCTTCCAGGCTGTTGCCAGCAGAACCAGAGAAACAACAGAAGCATTTTTTCACTTCTCTATCTTCCTTTTTTATTTTTTCCACTGGATGGGCCTCTGAACAGGCATTGTGGTTCTTTCCACATCTCAGGGTCCATTTCATGGGATAATAGGAATAGTTTCAAGAGGGGAATCTGGAAAATTCTTTATTGCTCTCCCAGAGACCACAGAATTGCTCTTTAAGCCAATTATTCCATCAAATCCTGCTTGGTGTCATTATCCAAGTTTGATTCAGATAATAAAGAGTTACCAATTATTAAAGGGCTGAGATCTTTAATCGATTGCTTTAAAGTATTTTAGACAATTAAAAAGGTGCCCCCGATTAGGCAGATTTTTTCTGAAACAGTTATTAATCTTAGTTACAAAACTGTAGGTGGCAACTACCATCTCAAGAAAGGTATTCTGTATTCTCCCATATACAGCAGAGAATGCCTCTTCTGGGCCGGTATCTAATATGATACAGCTAGAGATTTATTTTTATTTGTATACATAATTGTCTAGTTGAGTGAAATACAGTTGGATAAGATTTCTTTCACTAAGACACAGACACAGCTCTAGTTTTCGGCTTCTGCAATACTTTAAACAATCTTTAAAGAAGCATCAGTGTTCACATGTAAGGGCACTTTCAACCCACCACCCCCATATGAAATTTGCTAGTATAATTATAAGCTGGAAGTCTAACATCTTTGAAAGCTATCTATAGAATTTAGCTAACCTATGCAATTTTATATTAGCTCAGCCTCGGGTGGTAGACCCATGACAGGCAGGAGCACCCAACTCTTCCAAATTGCATTATTCTTTCCTGCTTATTACTTAGCTGCATTGTTCACACACTCATGACAAGCAAATGCAATTACTCATAGCCCATTCCTACGCTTGTTTCCTGAAACATAAGCCCCACTTCATTCAATCTTGCTTACTTCCAGGTAAGTGGACACAGTACTGCAGGCTTAATGTGGCTCTTTGAAGAGGAAGTGAAGCCCAGCATTATGTACTAAAAGCAGAAGTCAGCCTAAGCAATTAGTTCTTGGTTTGAGCCCCCAGTGCAGTAGGGGAAGAGAGGGAATCAGTCCAGTGCTTTCCTTGATCTTCATGAAAGAGACAGACAAGTCACAATGGTGTTAAGAGATGTGACTGATTTTCTCACTCCTTAACCTTTCTGCTTTACTTAAAATAGCTGGATTTGGACTGGTCAAGAAAAAAGCTCAGGGATCCCAGAGTCTGCCAGAATCTTCCTTTGCAATAAAACATGTAAAGCAGGCAGCAGTGCCCTGAACCCTACAAGAACACAGAGAGGGCAAGCAGCTCTGTTATCTGCCAAACTTGTTGCCATATCTTGAATAGCAAGGTGAGAGAATAACAAACTCAGTTCATTTCTTTCAGAGGCTGTTATTTGTAAGGCAACATGAAATGTGTGCCTCAGGCAAGCAGATCCTTGAGCGTATGAAGAATGGCACAATAAAATACACAGACAGATCTGGCCCACGAGGCATAATCTATTTGGCTGCATGAGAGAGCAGGCCTTTGGATTTCTCACCTCAAATGTCAATAGGTGTGAGGCATGCATTAATTCACTTTTGAAACATTGTGTATACAAACAATTCCATCAAGGTTTAAATGACTGTTGTTTACTACTGGACTTCCTTCAATATGGACACCTTGGCAAGTAAAACTAGTTGGCTTCCAGGAATGTACACAGAATGTAATGCTTCAGTACTGACTGCTCTTCATTAACTGATACTGCTTCTAGACCTGTTATGATTGAGGCACCAATTAGCAAAAAGCTAGTGCAGATGCAGCCAGCAGAATACCCTTGTTAAAAGTTTCATATTAAAATCTCAGCAAGGTAATTTGTTTTTGTTCCCCACTGCAAGCTTTAAAGCAACTGCCTTGATCATTTTGACTCTTAGCTGCCTTGTCAAGCAGACTCTCATCACAAATGCATTTGCTCCCACCTCCTACATACTGTGGTGCCTACAAGCAGAGTTGGTGGCTGTCCTTACTGTGCATTTGTATTTCACACAGTCATCCCAGAAGCGACTGGCAGAAAATTTCTTCCTAATCACTACAGTCAGGCCATGGATCACACACTGGCCAACACCCATGATATTCCCTGTGAAAAAAAGAGAGAAAGGCTATCACAGCATGGCTGGTATGCCATGATCCTGGAGCATCAGCGTTAAGTGCCACTAGCCAAGACAGAACCAGCCTTCATCCTGAAATCAGCAACAACTCCTGCCTACCTGCTGAGTGGTACAGCGGGAGGCAGTTATAGATTATGTCATGGGGGGTCATTCTGTAGGCGTAATAACCAAAAGCTGCTATTCGGTAGTATCTGCAAAGAAGCAAAGAACATACACAAATGATGACCATATCACTCATCTTAACTATGGCTAGATTAAATCATGTCCAAAATGGTCCCAACTGAGTTGGGAGGGTGGGGGATCCAGTACTTTTAGGCAGCCCTGTAAAATTCTCAGTATTTTTCAAGGAGGAATATTTCTGCAGAGACCATTTGCAGCTTTACTTTTTCACATGCCCATTTTGCCTGCTGCTGTTCAATTAGAGCCATCTGGAGCATATTCTTTTCTCTCTGGAAAGGGATAGTGGACTACAATCAAGTTACCTGATTCTGATCTTTATGCAGCCACCTCAGTGTAATTGCAGCTCTTCCCAGCAGCCTGATCATTATCAAGACTGTTTAAAATTAAACCCACTAAAAATCTGCCTAGCTACTGAAAGAGTTTGTTGCTCCCCTCTCCTAAAGCACCTACATTCCAAGGAAATTCCAAGCACTTCTCATTCCACTATAACCATGATGGTTTGGGCCAGGACAGTGATAAAAATTTCCTAGCTGAAAGTAAACTATTAACTGGGGAGCAAGCTCTTTCTGCTCTCTATGGTTGGGATGCAGGAGGCAAGTGAATGCTGAAATAAATATGCTTACCCACAGGGCCATTATGTCACAAAGGAAAGCAGGAAGGAAAAATTTCACACACCTTTGATTTTGCTGGTAAACACCACCAGTGCGCATCATCAGAGGCCCATACAGATTGTATTACATTACTCCTACTATCTTTTAATAATTTTAGAGACATAGAATAAATAGTTGTAGGGATGTCATAGGAAATCACTTTTAAGACAAAAAAACCCACAACCTAGTGGCACCTCTCTAATATTTGTATGTACCATATCCAGAAATGAAAACACTTTTGAAAAGAGGCAGGTGAAGATCAAGTGCCAAGGACAGATATATTGATGATCCTCACCTACTGTGTACCACAATGGCAGCCTTTGGCATTCCAGTTGTGCCAGAGGTGTAGATGTAGAACAGACGATCTAGGAAGAGATTACAAAAAAGAAACATGCATAACAGCAGGAATGGAAATCCTTAAATCTAGGGGTCAAATCCAACCCTCAGGGGTTTTCCAGAAGGCCATGTCCCCTTCCTCTGGCCTTAACCCCTTTCCCTCAGCAATCATTCAATAGTTTCATGGCTTCTGTGCTGTTTTCCTCCTACTCTAAATAGTCAAATTTGACTACTTCTATGGCTCAGTTAATGGCAGAAAGAACTCTAAGCTAAAATATGCTGGCATTTTGGTCCTGCCTTTTTTGACTTCAGCTGTTTGGAATAGAAGATAACACCTCTAAACTAGAACTTTGATCTTGTACTGGAAAAGGTTCTGTACCCATGTGTCAGAGCCTCCACTTCGATATATTATTTCTACCCAGTCTGGAAATCAATGCATCTCACATTGCATTTCACATCTGAAACCACAGGACAGACTGATAATCAAAAAGGCCTCTATGCCAGCAAACCATGCCTAACAACCCCCCTCCCCATGTTTTCAGAGGCAGTTTTGCTCTTTGAAGCAAGCACATGGCCCTGAGGGTACAGCATTTCAGTTTTCTTCCTGAATCAGGTGCCTGGCTGAGAAATCTCGTAACATGAATCTGGAAGAAAGGTCACACAAAAGCTGAGCCTACAACAGGGTGTGCCACAAAGAAGAAAGAAATTGCTTTTGTCCTCCTAGGCCCCGTGGGCAAATATGTGATTCACCAGAGCATGTGTTTGCAAGGAAACATACCATCTAATCCCTTGGTGGGAACCTGAGCTGGAGAAGATTTTGATGCCTTAGCCAGAAGAAGGTCTAAGTGTTTGCTGTCTGGAGGAATGGATTCAGGTCTGAAGTCTCCAGAACAGAATTTGACCATGTTTTTCCCCAGAGCACCATTCACTTCCGATATTGCTGCAAACATAAAATCAGCTTTCATTAGAAGCAGCTCAAAAGAGTAAATATTCCAGTTCACTAGTGTGCAGAATCCCATTGCAAGGAGATGCTAGAGCACAGCTGGCAGGCATTTTGCTATTTGCAGAAATCAATATAAACCCACATGTGAAACTCTGTTTAATGTACCATACACACAATAGTACTCACATTATGCTAATCATGCACAACACAAGATCCAAGTTAGTCAGAGTACTTTTCTGATATGAAATTATCTTTCACAGCATTCTCTTGAGGAATCTTTTCTCTTTTAAAAGTTGCATAGCGTCACTACCCCCTCTTCATCACTGGTGCACATGACTTTCCTATGACTATCTGACTATGAATGCCTACCCACTGCTGCAAGGCCATAGCACACAAATGCACCTAAGGTGTCAAGTTAGGATGCTTTAATTTTGTTAAAATATTTGTACCCTTACATTTACATGAGGGTCCTTCTTGTTGTAACAGTGCTTTATCTTTTCATTTGTTTTATTTATCTATATTCCATTTTTCAGGTATACAACCTCATTTAACTATTTTCAAAATGCTGAAATGAACAGTGGATTAATGCAATGTTGCAGAAAGAAATCACATAAAAAAAGATAAATGTAGTCAAACTAAGCATTTTTAAACCAGATGTATTTCATTAAACTAAGCATGCTAAGATGGTGTTCATATTTAGTCAAATAGAAATGAGACTAGGTAAACTTTTTGGTGGACCAGGTTCTAAAGGTAAGCATCACAACAGAAATGGCTGCATCCCAGCTCACAGCCATATACACATCAGTTCTCCTTAAATGGGCATGGAAGTATAGAAGGAACTCTGATCAGAACCTTAATATTTGGGCAAATTTGAGTGGAAAGAGGATGCCTGAGGTATTTTATTGTTGTGTTCTATATATTTGCTGTTTTTATTTCTTCACTGAAGGATGCACAGAAAAATAAAAATAAAAGCATTAACAATAGGTAAAGGTAATGCAGGACTAAAACTAAATATCCTCTCAGAGGGAGTGAAGGACTGCTTTCTGCTATGACCCTTGGCACACATCCACCCTACTGTAAGTGTTCCCTTGCTCTCAAACATACTGTCTCCCTCCTGGACATAATCCATACCAAGGAAAGAGTAATGGGAAATTGTTCTGAATGCTAGTGCTAAGAAAAACCAAAGGTGTGTCAGCAGTATATTAAGAAGAGCCATGACATGAAAGATACTCCAGTTCAATACACAATAGTAAGAACAGGTTACCACAATTACATTATTTATCTTCAGCTGGGTATCTGAGAAGCAAACAGCTTTCAGGTTTTCTCTCCACAAAAATTAATCTCTTCTCACAACAAATGAGTTTGCCTCAAGGGCCACACAAGAACTACTTAAAGGGTTATGACCCAAATGCACAGGAGCCTTACCTGCTGAAAGTTCTCCACCGAAGATGATGGCTTTTGCCCCTGAGGTTTTCACGCAATAAATCAGTGCATCAAGACGCAGATTGAAGTTGATGAGGGCTGCCTCAATGCCCACTTTGGCCATCCCTAGCCAGAAGCCCACAAACTCAGGTCGACTCTCCATAAAGATAGCAATTACATCACCAACACAAAAGCCCTGATCGTAGAAGAAGTTGGCTACAGCATTGGAAAATTCATCTAGATGCTGGAATGTCCATTTGTCATCAGTAGCTTCATAGATCAAGGCCACTTTATCTGGATGACGGCGGACCACATCACAGAATATCTTTGGGACATTGCTCTTGGCTTTCCGGTGACAGTACAATTTATATTTGACTTGGACAAGCACTGACAAGCCCCTGCAATGAAGAGAGGACCATCTCAAGTTATTATAACACAGATCATAATGCTCCTGAGTCCAAAAGGAAAGGATGCAACCTCTCAGCTTAGTTTCATCCACCATCCCTCAAGACACAGATTCTGATTTTACACATATTGCTTTTATACTAGAGTTTCTTGTATTGGTTCAGACCCAGTGTCTCAAAATTAAATCTACTCCTTGTTAAGATGATTAAGTTTCTGCATCTAGACTTCCAGATTCTACTATAAGAAAAGTTCTCTGCCATTTTTCTTATTACACATCATTTATTCAACAGGTTTATTTTTACTATTTTGCACATTTTTTTCAGACTTCATTAGTCCTGGGCTTTGGGGATTTTAGCAAGGTTGCAGAAATTCACACACATCTTTACTAGCATTAAGGACTAAAAGCTTATTTAAAAAAAAAAAGCCTGAAAAGTCAAAATACTCAGAAGTTTAATTTTATATCTGATAACACTCTGGATTTGTGAATGAGTAAATCAGTAGCGCTCTACTAAGGGGTTGCCCGATGAAAGTAAGAATATTGAAAGAAAAGAATGCTACCCCTTTTTACAGCTATAACTACCTTCTCTGCTGTAGAAAGGGACAGCCATTATTGCTTGGAAAATGTCATCCTCCAGCTCATGGGGAGGAACAGTGACAATGTTTGGAGCCAGTGTGCTTTAATTTGACACAGGATAGCAGAGAAAAGTTCTCACTCTTAGCTGGTGTTCAGTGAATGTGGGGTGCAACATTCCCTATAAAATCAGGCAACTACATTAGGTCTATAGCAGCCACTTGAAACAGAGGTCCACATTGGCCTCCTGCCTACAAGCAGCCAATTATATGCAGTTAACATGAACAGAACATTTTATTATGATTACATTTCTATCCTTCCCTTTTTTCTCTTGCAAGGATTCCAAGGTGGTTCATATAATTCTCCTCTTATTTTATCCTCACAATGGCCCTATGAGGTAGTTCAGGCTGAGACCAGCCCAAAGTCACCATGGTCAGCTGGGGACTAGAAGCTGGATCTTCAGACCCTCAATCTAACACTACTAGCTCAGAATTAGAATTAAATTACCATACCTTTATCAACCCCCACTGGTATACACAGAAAAATAAAACGTATTTGTAAAGACTGGTCTTTGGCTTAGAGTCTTACTCCCCCCCCCACACCCACTTTAACACTTACAGATTATCAATTTCCCCTCACATCTGTGGCTATGTCCCTGTTTGATAAAGAAGTACTCTGATCAGGCAACAAAGAAAAACGTTCAGAATGTGTTTCACTTTCAAATGAGCAAGAGGAAGTGCCACAGCTCAGTGGGTACAACACATGCTTTGCATTCTGATGGCCGCAGGTTCAATCTCTTTGGCAGTGAGCCTGGGAGCCCAAAACCTTGGGAGAGCTGTCATCCATCAGATCAGACAAAACTGAGCCATATAAACCAATGATCAGAACTAGCCTGAGACAGCATTATATATTCATTAGGTACTGAACATTAAATAACTACTGGAAGTGAAACCTGTTAAAAATTAGAGAAGCTTTTTCCCCCCATGAGACATGGTGGGGCCTCCATGCACACCACAGCCATGCACACTCCATGCACACCACATCCACACCACATTCTCTTTTTTAAGAACCAACTATTGTGTTTGTCTTTCTGAAGAAAATTTGTAAAACATACAGCTTATGGTGGCACCAGAATTAATGCATTTCAAAGAAAGATACATATATAATCATCATGTGACAGACCACAGAAAACATTTGCCTGCCTATTTTGTGCATATTGAGGCATGTGGATGGTGAATCAGAAAGGGAAAAAAGGAGAGTGAAGAAAGGAGAGAACACTTTGCATCTTAATGCTGTATTTTCAGTCTTTATTCAGAACTTGCGGAGCAAGCAACCAATCCTCCTTGTCCTCAAGCATCTTTAAAGCTGATTTAAAGATAATTAAAACTGCAATCACGTATTTCAGAAATTAAGCAGGGAAGCTTTGGTAATAAACATTAAAATTTCAAGAGGGGGAAACCTATCTGAACTATTTAGTCTTCAGCAAGAAAGCAGCAAAAAAGCAAGCAGCCCAATCCTAGGGATATTTACTCAGGAGTAAAGCACACAAAGTTCAAATAAGTATACACAAGATTACATCTTAAATCATGTTTATTCAAAAGTTAATCCCAGTGTTTACTTCTTAGAAAGTCTGTTTAGGACTACAGACTTACCTAATATCTCGACTTTTGGTCTATACCAGACCTTGAAGTCAGTTTGATCTGTAACAATCCAGAACTTAGGAAGTATTGCAAGAGTTCTGCTGATAGCAGTAATTCAAGATATAAAGATGAAGAATTCTTTAGATAAAAATTTAAGTGAGGGTAACTGATCTTTGTTTTTTAAATGATGTAGAAGAATTACTATTTAATGGACAATCCTGGTGTCTATTAATGAGGGTATAATTAAACTCAAGCAAAACATCTTTTAAAATGTCACATCAACAATGCAACAAGCACAGAGAGCTTTGGCTGTGGGACAGTATAGAAATGAAACAAACAAACAAGTGTGATGTACTTAATGCATTCCATTTTCCGAAGTTCACAGAAATAGCAGTAAACTTCAATTTGCTGTTGATCAAAGAGGAGCTTGGAAGAGTAAACTGCTGATACAGATCAATGACCACTTAAAAACCGCACATCCTTCTTGACCATGACTGTCCCAAGCAAAGCCTTGATGGACTAGGGGAAGAAAGGCTGGATTAGTAATAGGCTGTTAGCATTTCGCAGGACAAGCTGGCCTGTCAAAGTGACCCTACCCTGAGCATTGCCAGGAAAGGAACAGAAGAGTTTTTTCAAGCATTAGCTATACTTTCCATATTCTTAGCAGGGCTTCATTCTCCACTGTTATTTCTCACTTGCCATGCAATTGGGAAGAAATGCAATTCCAGAGGACACTGACAACCAATATAAAAATTGAAGCATCCTTTCTGAGTGCAGCAGCTCCAAATCTCGAAATCTGAGTGCAGGAAGCTCCAAATCCAACAACATAATCTCAAGGATGCAGAAAATAGGTACTGATCTCAATTACAGAACAAGGCACACATGAGACTGTTAGAGCTCCCTCACAGATTTCACATCTCTAAGAGGAAGAAGCCCATATATGCATAAACTACACACAGATTTCATACTATTTACAAGGCATATATTATCCCAAACAGAAATGTGGACTTCACAATACTTCCCTCCTCATGCCTTTAAATTTGCTACTGTATATGACAGAAGTTTCTCTTCCAACAATCCTATGAGACAGACTAAGTTGAGAGAGAACAACTTTATCCAAGCTCCCCAATAAGTTTCATTGCTGAGCAGGAATTGAACCCAAGTCTGCTCAGTATTTCAGGTTGTATAGTTCAGAATCCTTACCTGCCCCACTCCTAACACCTGCAGCAACCTGAGAGGAGATTCATTGGGGAAGTGGGTGATGTTTAAATTTCCCTGTATACTTTCCTTATCCAGAAGAAAAGCAGTTTGGAAATATGTTTGAACAGACAGGTGGGTGGAAAAAAAAAATTGAGCAATCTGCCCCTACATCCTAATTGCTGAGCTCTTCCCAGTCCTAGCCTTCTGGGCATGTTTTTCTTTAAAGCGGTTAGGATAATATCATTATAATATATAGTTAGGCCATTTCTTATCTGAATAATTGTATAAATTATTATTTGAATTTTATCATTAATGTGTTATCTGTTTCAACTATGTATTTCAATATTAACAGGGGTGAATTTTTGAGGTAAAGGGTGCACACATCCCTAAGATGCAGGTAATCTTATGATACTTTGCTTCTGAAGGAATCTGACAGATTTCATAGTAGGAACATTTCTTTTTGTAAAGAGCCACCTAACTCAGCCACATCCAAAGATAAACAAACCTTCTGATGCACTGACTCACCTGCCTCATGCATGCACAACATTTAATATACAAAAGAAGATGTAGAACATTGTCTCATTACTGCCTTTGTACTTTGCAGCATCAGCAAGCAAAAGCATTTTATTACATGCTTTCACACCAAATTCCTTTGTGTAGTTAACAAATACCACATTTAGACAGTGATCAGGGCAAAAGAACTTAAGTATTTATCATTTTAGGAGAGCATTAGTTCTTTTTGGCAAGTTGGAGTTCACATCCTAAATCCAATTAAATATCCTAGTACTGAGGCATATGCAGATTTATCATCTGTGGCAATAGCTATATTATTTATGGAAACAGCAAACCAGTGTATTACTACATGAGGGGAAGTTGTACTTACAGGAGATCTCTCAAGGCAGTCTTGAAGATGATCCGGAGAAATGTCCAGCCACCACTGCCAATGTAAACGCCCAGAGCAGCTGCAATACTCCATGGCCATGACACACCAAAAAAGCGCATGAGGCCAAGTGAGCCAAGTGAAGCAGTGCAAACCCCAATCATGCGCATTCTGGAAAAAGAGATATGCTTTAAGTTTAACTACTAATTTAACATTTGTTTTGCTCCAACAGTGTATTAAGTGTGCTATACAGATGAGATTCATCAGGGTGGGGTTGTCACTGGCTATACAAGAGAGATAGGGCAAAGGTGAAGGAAGCACAGGAGAGTAGATAAAGATACTATAAGACAGGGGTTATCAGAGGCAGAACTTGTACAAATGCCAAGACAAATTTGGAAAGACTTTCTAGAAGGAGCTATGCTATCGTAATGCACTTTGTTGCTACCACTGAAATCTATCTAAAAGCTCAAACTGATGCATTTTGTGCACCTCCTGAAAGTCAAGATCACAAGTGTATTACCATAATAATCCATTGTCTTTCAAGTAAAATAGAACATTCTGGATTTAAATGAGAAACCCTTAAACCACTTAGGCCCACATAAGAGACTGCTGCCTCTTATCCTGAATGCCCAGCCTGACCAGCAAACCTACTTAGGAAAACCATCTCCACATACTCACCCAAAGGATACACACATAGGAATTCTCAAGGTCTGCCCATTAATTATGGAAAGCCACTAAAGCTCAAGAACCTTACTAATGTTTATAATATAAAACTTTTCTTCCTGGTGAAATTTAAGCTAGCCAAGGTAAAAATTTTAGTCTTGGATATTTATTGATCCGTTTTTAGTCCAGCTTTGTTGCCCATAAAGAATCTTAAGGTCTGCAGAAGCACATGTTTAAATTACAATTACTGAAGAAGGGATTTGAAATAGGAGAAGCAAGATACTTAATGAATAGAAGGGAACAACTTGTCCCAAAAACAGAAACAGTACAATAGCAGGCACAAAAGCAGGAGCAGCAGATTTTACTCTGAAAGCAATAAACCCCAACTTTCAGCAATATAGCTTTATGTGTTTCATATACAGATCATGGTAACTTCTCTTTAAATATTTAAAATAAAGAAATCTGATTATTTACAAATCATAAATTATTCTCTTCTCCTCTGCCTAAAACTAATAGGCAGCAGAGATGGTAAGTAAACAAAAAGAACTTACAGGGAAGTTAATGGATCATCTAACAAAGTCAACTGTGGTCCAAGTGCTGGTTTTGCCATTTAAAGTGTTAAAACAGTCTGGACTAAGATCTGGCTTGCAGGTTATGGTAACAAGTACTGGGTATTTAACTCAGGAGCTGCTAGAAATGAGTTGAGCACAAATCATATCCAGTTTGAATTTCCCATTTCTACTGCATGATATCTGAACCCAGAACCTGACAATTGGTGCTTACTCTCAGCTGCCTGGTCATTCCCACTAAGCTAAATAACCTGGAAACACATAGGCCTTGTGTTGTTCATCATGCTCTTGAACCTGGGTGATCACAGCATGCAAAATGGATCAGTGTTAAGACCTGCACTAACTAGAAGCGTGTGTAAAACGCACTATGAACCCATTGCCCATATTTCTTCCCACCCCCATTTGGCTTGTCTCTCCCAAGAATCCGGAGTTCCACATTTCAACATCATGATAAACAACACAGGGACAGAGTGTCCCTGGCTACTTTAGCTGCTCCTGTTTGCAGCAGAAAGGACTGAGCAGCCAGGACCTAGCACACTTAAACCCATTCATGGCATAATATGCAAATTAGGCCAATGTGTGGTCTTGACTTAACTTCCAGGATATCTGACATGCTGTCATCACCTGTCACACTGGAGATTAAGCAGTGACCTCTCCATTAACTAACTTTAACTTCATCCATCACTGAGGCAGATGCTGTAATTTTTTCTAGCACAGTATTTGACCTTATTTGCACAGACTCCACATGACAACCCATCAATGGCAGTTAACTGGAACAGGTTATACCCAAACTACATTCTAGCCTGACAACCCATAGTTTCTTCTATGTTTTGGTTAAACCCTGCATGTCATCTGAACCCAGGAGAGCTAATTGTGGGTTGCTAGAATCAGCTACAGAATTGCCCAGCAAGTATGGCAAAAAGGCCATGTTGCTTGCTTATCATGATCTCATCAGTGACTGATGTTCTCCTGATGCTGAAACAACATTTTGAAAGACCCATCATTCATTCCTTTTTCTTTTTTTGGTGCCTCAAAACTGATCATTTTTTTTAGACTAGTGGGAAATCTACTGAGCTAATCTATTTAAGACTAACGTCCTGCTATGGAAAGGGATGAGCTTCTTGTTCTTCCTCCAGTTACAGTTCCAATTAGAAAAGTCAAAGGGAGGAGTGAAATCTCATGTCATTCCTGCCCAGTATTTGATTGTGGCATCTTTTGTCCCACTGCAACTCAGATGATGGGCACTCTAGCATTTCCAGAATGCAAAAGAATATTAATCTCCAGCCACTCTTATTTGGTGGCTGGCAGAAACCTGCTTAAAATAGTTTTCCTCTTCTTACCTGTGAGAATATAAGGATTCCTAACCTTGGAGGTTGCCCCTGTCTACAATCCAGTTTTGTCTCTTTATGATCTTTCAGTTTTGAAGATGTTCACTTACAAAACCAAGAAAAAGGAGCAAGATTAGATGAGGAAGTCTGTCTCTGCTAGGATGCAACAACCTCTATGCCAAATTTATTTTATTTTATTTTATTCATTCATTCATTCATTCATTCATTCATTCAGGAAGCTTCTATGCCGTCCCATTCGCTGAAGCTTCGGGGCGGCTCACAACAATAAATATATGTCTGAATCTTTAGCCTTACCTATTATGGTTTTCCACCAGGCCTCGAGTGAGCTCTCAGAATGCATGCACTACTTCCCTGTTTTTGTTTGTTTCTACTAAGGCAGCAAAATAAATTCAGCAGGGGAAGCTCCTTGCTCTAAGAAAGGTCTGCAGTTGACTGGCAGAGTAGCTGCACATGTAAGAAATTAAACTTGGAATACTTTGCATCTCCACATAGGGCTGGAAAAATAGTTCTGCCTGCATTCTGAAAAGGGGCTGCCAGTCAATAGAAGACAGCAGTGACCTAAATGGATTAAAGGGCAGACTTGGCATAAGGTAAGTTCCTAGGCTTGAGAAAAATAAAAGTGGGAGATTCCCTCCCACCCTAAATAACCTAGGTGATAGTTTCCAGTTTGCTGCTCAAAAGATGTCAAGTAAAGTTGAAAAGAGACATAGCTCCTCAGGCACCCATCTTCAACTGCAAAGAAGGTAAACCAGTGAAGTAGAAGATGACAGTTACTCTTCCAAATGACAGGGACAAAGACTTTACAGTGCAATCTTAACAAAAAAAAATGGCCTTACAACTCCCAACAACTATATCTTATGCACTTTGTCTGCTGGCCGGATTCATCCTATTCTTCGTTGTGGCCTCTGTGCATCACACATATGGGTGCTGCGCAGTGCCTAAGGCCGGAAAGATTGCAAAGCTTAACAGTTTTTGGCGGGAACTCTGCACCCCTCCCCCTAACAGTATAAATGGAGCAGAGTGCCCACCATTTTCCCAGTCTTTTGTGACCGCCGTTTGCTGTGCCTGGAGCCTTTCACCTCTTCTTTTGTACTTGTTCTCTAGATATTATGCCTTTAGTTATTGTTAGTTGTACGATTCCAAGTTCTACCCTTCCCTGTTTGAAGTTCTCTTCTTATTACCCCCTCTCTGTTTTTTTTAAATATATATATCCCATTTCTTCTTCCACTTGCTTTCTATCTTCTTCTTTCTATGGAGCCCTGGAACTATCCGAATCAGCCTCAACCTACCTCACATCAGTACGAGGCTATGTATCGAGTTCAGGAGCAGGATATCCCATTCCTCCTGCATCATCTGAGGCCAAACTCGATAGTTGTGGAGTTGTCCCAGGGTCGCAAGTCAAGAGGCCACACTATACCCCGCAATAAAGAGGGCCGCAAGATCAACATGTTGGCTCGCTGGATCTACGCCACTATAGGACTTGGCCTCCGCATCTTGAACTACGAAGCCACGCTGGGCCAGTATCAATATTTTTTGATGCAGAAGCTAGAAAATATTACTGCTTCACTCCCAGACCAGCAGAAAGACCTGGCTCATATATTCATTAAGGAGGCCATGCAGGTGGCGGTCCAACAGCTCACCACGGCGAGACACCATGTCAATTCCGACTCCAGGGCTCTGGTAGGTGCAGTCTCCCTTCATCGCCATGCCTGGCTCTGAAATTGCAATTTTCCGGAGGAGACCAAATGCCAGATTGAGGAGATGCCCTTTGATGGCTCAGGGCTCTTCCATGAACGGATGAACCACAAAATGAAGTCCATACATGAATCAAGGATGACCGCTCGTCGGATGGAGGTTCCAAACCAATCCTGACCTAAGTGGTCTTGGTCCCGTCCATCTTACAGATACCAGCCATACTCCCAATTTCCGGCCCGTCAACAGTGTCAGCCCCGTCAACAACGTTGGAAGCAACAACAGCGCTTCCAACAAAACCGCCATCGTCCCAATTCCGACAAACGCCAAAATTGACGGGATGGGCGAACCTCTCCTCTCCTCCTCAACCCACCTTCCTCTCTCCCTTTTGGGGATCGACTACAAAGTCGACTCTCCATCTGGGAGTCCATCATATCTGACCAGTGGGTTTTATCCATTATTCAGCACGGATACAGAATTGAGTTCAATACCATGCCCCCACCGGGACTGATCCGATTTACACCTCAATCATCGGTCCTCGTTAACGAAGTTCAACAACTTCTTCATAAAGGAGCAATTCAACAGCTTACACGCTCTGAGGGGCTCCACGGATTCTATTCTAGATATTTTACTGTATCCAAACGGGATGGTGATCTTCATCCGATTCTTGACCTATGTGACATCAATAGGTTCATCAGAACCAAAAAGTTTTGGATGACCACCCTTCAAAATATCCTTCTGTTGCTTAGGAGAGAGGATTGGTTCACTTCTCTGGACTTGAAAGATGCCTATTTTCATATTGCCTTTCATCCATCCCATAGGCGTCTTCTACAATTTACTGATGGTTCCAACCTGTTTGAATTCAACATCCTTCCGTTTGGACTAGCTACTGCCCCCCAAGTTTTTACCAAATGTATAGCCCCAGTGTGTGCACATCTTTGGCTCCAAGGGATTCAAGTGTATCTCTACCTGGATGACTGGCTGATAGCTTCCCTATCTCGGGAAAGCCTTCAATCAGCACTGAGAATTACTTGTACTCTTCTGGACAATTTGGGACTTTGCATTAACCATGAGAAATCGTGCCTTGTTCCCTCACAGGTCATCGACTTCATTGGAGCACGTCTCGATTCCACACTGGCGAGAGCCTTCCTTCCACCGAGTTGACAAGACAATCTGTGCTCTTGGATCCATCGAGTCCAAATGGACAGAGCTGTTCCAGTGCTCTTCATTCAGAAGCTCCTTGGCCACATGGCCTCTACAGTTGCCACAGTTCCCCACGCCAGGCTACAGATGAGATCACTCCAGTTATGCTTCAACAAAATGTTTCAACCTCAACGAGACTCGCCTTACCGACTCCTTCGTCTTTTGACTTCTGTCCTCGTGGTGGACAGTGCGACACAATCTGATCGTGGACATTCCATTCCGTCTGCCTCACCCAACCCTTACTCTCTACACTGACGCAACCCTGACCAGGTGGAGAGCCCTGTGAGCCAGCCTTCGAATGCAGGGCACCTGGGACCAATGGGAGTCCACCAGGCACATCAATTATCTTGAGCTCCTGGTGGTCTTCAAAGCACTTTGCTCGTTCGAAGGCACTCTCCATTGACACATTGTACAGGTTGCCTCCAACAACATTGTTGCTGTATTCTATATAAACAAGCAGGGCGGGACGAAGGCCACCCCTCTAGCCTGTCTAGTGCTGTGGGACTGGTGCATCCCCAGAAACAAAACTCTTCTCGCAGTCCACCTGGCTGGTACCGACAACGAGGAGGCCGATGCCCTGAGCAGGCAAATGTCAACGACCCACGAATGGGAACTGGATCATCCAACCTGCCGTCGCCTTTTTCACAACTGGGGCTATCTGGACATAGACCTGTTTGACACTCACATGAACAGGGTCTGCAAAATGTACTGCTCTTGTGCCGGCATTGGTCCAGGATCGACAGGAGATGCCCTTATGATCCCCAGTCCAACACATTCTTTTATGTGTTCCCTCCGATCCCACTCATAATGAAGGTCATTTCCAAGATTGTCCACGACAGTGCTACGGGGATTCTGATCATGCCTTGGTGGCCCCATCAGCCATGGTTCTCCACTCTCCTCCATCTATCCGACAACACCTTTCTTCGACTGCCTCTCATATCTCATTTAATAACCCAACAAGATGGGGCTGTTCGCCATCCAGACCTTGCTTCACTAGGTCTAACGGCCTGGCTCATCCGGTGAATCATGAAGTCCATTCGGTACCGACAGAAACAATGTCTGTTATAGCTGCCAGACACTGTCCTGATACAGCACCTGTCCCCTTAGCCTCAAAAGACTCTACATTAGACCTGAGCGCTCTCCATCCTGATATCCAGTACATTCTTCAATCTGCCCTAAGACCAGCAACTCGGCGATCCTATGTGGCCAAATGGAGACGCTTCGCATCTTTTGCGGAATCTAATTCTTTTACTGCTTCCTCAGCCTCTGTCGAAAACATCCTTCAATTTCTCTTGTCACTCCATCAGTAGGGACATAAACCCTCATCGATCAAGGTTTACACAGCAGCAATTTCCCACTACCACGGACAAGTACAAGGCTCTTTGGTATTCTCCCATACCATCATTCGTAGGTTCCTCAAGGGACTGCAGAACCTTCATCCACCAGTTTGTCAGATTATTCCTACCTGGAGCCTGTTGGTTGTTCTCCAAGCATTCCCTCAAGCTCCCTTAGAACCCCTGGCAACTACTGACTTATGTCTCCTGTCTTGGAAGACTACCTTCCTTGTAGCTGCCACTTCTGCCAGAAGGGCTAGTGAACTCTGTGCACTTAGGGTAGTCCCTCCTTACCTTAACTTTCATAAAGAAAAAGTTGTTTTCCGCACGGATTAGGCGTTTTTGCCTAAAGTTGTGTCACCATTCCATATCAACCAGGACATTGTCTTACCTGCTTTTTTTCCAAGGCCCTCCACTCTGATTGAGCAGTCCTTGCATTCCCTTGATGTTCATCGCTGCCTTGCCTTCTACAGGTCTCGTACAGAGTCCTTCCGTAAATCTAACCACCTATTTGTGAAATACTCTGACTATGATAAGGATTCTCCCTTGAGTTCACAAAGGTTTTCGAAATGGGTTGTGCAGACAATCGAGCTGGCGTACCAACTTGCCAAGCTTGATTTACCTCATGCCCAGAGGGCATTCTACAAAGGCGGTAACAGCCTCCTCTGCCTTTATTGCTGGGATTTCGATCCAAGACATTTGCAAGGCTGCCACATGGACTACTCCTTGCACCTTTGCCAGGCATTACTGCCTTGATGTGCGTGCCAGACATAACAGCTCCTTTGGCCGGGCAGTCCTTTCTGTTGTCCTTCAGTGACGACACCGCCCACCTCTGGGTCTGGTAAGCTTGCTAGTCACCCATATGTGTGATGCACAGAGGCCACGACGAAGAAAGGCAGGTTGCTTACTTGTAACTGTCGTTCTTCGAGTGGCCATCTGTGCATTCACACAACCCACCCGCCGGCCCTGCTCGGTGTTGGTGAATGGGTTATTTGGTACCATGTGCTTCTGGTACCGCAAGAGCTTTCAGCAATATCTCTCGCTCTGCGAGGGGGCGAACGTTCAGTCTCCAGTAGACTGGGAAAATGGCGGGCACTCCGCTCCATTTATACTGTTAGGGGGAGGGGGTGCAGAGTTCCTGCCAAAAAACGTTAAGCTTTGCAATCTTTCCGACCTTAGACATTGCGCAGGCGCAGCACCCATATGTGTGAATGCACAGATGGTCACTCGAAGAACGACAGTTACAGGTAAGCAACCTGCCTTTCCAGAATACCATCCTCTACTGATGGAGAATAACCCTTCATGCTTACAACATTCTATTTTTTAGATTTATATTATTCATTCTAGAGTCATTCTGAGGCTTCCTTGACACAGAATTGCAATATTTTGGTGCAGTGTACCTATATCACTGTATTCAGTCAGTATTGTGCCTTCTACTGTAACTAGTACTTCATGTAATGTAGAAGACTACATGATGTATCCACTAGAGTTTGGGACTTGGGCCAAGAAGACCCAATATCAAATTTCCGCTCAGCTATGAAGCTGACAGCGTTCTTACTTATGTATTAATGTTGGTAACAGTCTTATCTGCTAAGAAGACTTCAAGGCAGTACACAACAATATAAAACAATCCAGAACTAGTCACTATCATCATCTTGCATTTATATCCCACATTTCTTTCTTTTACCAGAAGCTCAAGGTGGCATATAAGGTTCTTCTCCTCTCTATCCTCACAACTCTGTTAGCCGGAGAGGCAGTGACTGGCCCAAAGTAGTCTGCATGGCTGAGTGAGGACTAGAACCCAGATCTCCTGAGTACCAGTCCAGCGGGTTTAATCACTACACCACACTTGATCTCTACACTAGCTACCTTGACCTACTTCACAGAGAGTTGTTACATGGATAAAAGTTCTATGAACTCCTATGTATGCTACCCTGACTTCCTTGAAGTAAGATCAGGATACGAATATTTTACAGACTTATTGTGAGCAATTGTTCTCAGAGAGATAAATCCCCTGCTTACCTTGGTTGGTAGCCCAAATATTCTTTACTATTATGCCTCAACTTTCCAATCCATGATTAACCCTTATAATATTGATGTCTGACTGCTCTGGCTTTGTATTTTGTATGGTAAATGGTCACACATGGAGAAAATGAAAGAATTTAATTCCAGGTGCAAATTCTTCAGCTACACCACCAATTCTTAAAGTGCCCAACCATTAAAATATGACTGCTGTATGAAGTGTTGATGCATGTATTTAGCAAAATACTAGAACACAGGAATGCCCATTCAGATGTACTAGCAGCATATTCTGATCAGACAAAATAGAGCACTTCATATGATCCACAGAAGATCCACAGTAGAGTTAAGGGGAGAAGGCAAAGACAATATTGGAGCATTGCTCCCAGCTGGATTTCTCCTTTCTCACCAGGCTGTTTACTACCAACTGCCCTGTAGTAAATTTCCTGACCTATGTTTTGGTAGTTAGACACTATGACTTCATTACTGTATTTTTATTTTACTTTTAAGCTGTCTTGGAAGATTTTTATCCATAAAAGGTAGAATATAAATTACCATTAACAGTGACTTACAGAATTCACTGCTGAAGGCTTTTTGCTTGAAGCTGTTTCGTATTCTTGAACTATTTGTGTCCTAAAGAAAGTAGCTGCCATGTGCTCAGCCACGCAGTACTGGTGAGAGGGGCCATCTGAAGGAGCCACTGAAGGGAGCCATTGAGCTAGCTGGGGTGAGATCAGCAACTACACAACTCCATATGCAATCTGCCAGACTCAAAAAGATTACAATGCAGGGTGAGCAAATGCAAGCAACCATCAGGCAGTTTTGTGTGTGAGTTTTCTGGGGAAGTCTAGGAAGGTGGCAGCAACACCAACAGAGAACAAAACAATTTGGCCACCTAAGGAGCTTAAAGGGCCAGTTTTGTGCTATGCTTGCTTTTTCTTTTTGAGAAAGTACAAAATGACACCTGTAACATGTGCAAGATGGTATCCCTACTGGAAGAAAATCTGTAAGTGTCTGAAGTGCAAACTTCAGGGAATGAGGAAAAATGAAGCATTTCATGAGAGAACACAAGTACCTGTGAGAGGTCAACAGGGAGTAGCAACTTCTAAGCAAAAGAAAGAAAATCAGATGATGTCAGAATCTGGGCTGCTTTGGTGGCCAGACCCACCACCACATTTGCAGGATCAGTTCTGATAGTCCTGGAGGAAAAACTCTATCAGAGCAACTCTTCCCTCCAGAACTAGCTTCAACAATGCAGATCCTCCTGTTTGCTGTAGTGTCTGGCCTGGCCCTACTCCACCCCTTCAGTAGCACAGGTCCTTCTGTTTGCTGTTGCTACCTGGCCTGACCTGTTCCTGGTTCCTAATGTGTCTCCTGCCATGCCAAGTAGCCTCAGCAGCACAGGTTTGCCTGTTTGTTGTTGTACCTGCATCTTGCCTGATTGCCTGCTCCTCATTCCTGCCTTTTCATGTTGCCTTGGTGTTGTGCCTACCTCTTGGCTGACCTATGTCCTGCCTTGCCCATATATCCTGCCTCACCATGTTTCCTCAGTAATGCAGGGCTTACTGTGAGCTGTGTTCAGCTCCTGCATGTTGTCAGACCCTTGCTACATTTGGTTCCTGTTGTCTTGTGTATCTTTTGTGCCATGTTCCCTGCCCTGTTAGCCTGTCAAAGGTACCTGCATCTCTGTTTGTCCTCCTAGTTCTTGGCCCTTGACTTGTTCCTAACCATGTCCTTGTTCTGCCCTCATGCATTCGTCTGGTTCCTGACCCTGGCCTGTAGCATGACTAGCCTAAATTCAGTAAGACTAGAATTAAATCATGGGTTTCTACATAGTTTGCATGCATGGCTGCCTTACCCATAGGAAGAGGAACTTCATTAAAATATTCCCAAACTGGGTTTCTTTTACAGCCTGCTCCCATTATAGGTTTTCTTCTCGAGAGAAAGAATAATATGATAAGTCTCAGGCTATACATAAAAAGATCTGAAGACTTCTAGAGTATTCTGCTCAAAAGGTTTGACTTAGATTTTTACTACTTGCCTCTCCCTCATCACACTTAGCTTCTTGTGCAGATCTATTTCACTTCCAACAATCTTCTTCTGTTCACTGAATTTTCTGAAACATGGAGAAAGCTAGGGAGTTCCAGAGAAACATCTACTTCCGCTTCATTGATTAAGCTAAAGCCTTTGATTGTGTGGATCACAACAAATTGAGGCAAGTTCTTAAAGAGATGGGAGTACCAGACCATCTTATTTGTCTCTTGAGATACCTGTATGAGGGTCAAGAAGCAACAGTGAGAACTGGACATGGAACCACTGATTGGTTCAAAATTGAGAAAGGAGTTCAGCAAGGCTGCATCCTGTCAGCCTGCCTATTTAACTTATATGCAGAGCACATCAAGAGAAAGGCCAGGCTGGATGAATCACAAGTTGGAATTAAGATTGTTGGGAGAAATATCAAAAACCTCAGATATGCAGACAATACCACTCTAAAGGCAGAAAGTGAAGAGGAACTAAAGAGCCTCTTGATGCGGGTGAAAGAAGAGAGCGCAAAAGTTGGCTTGAAACTCAACATCAAGAAAACTAAGATCACGCCATCCGGTCCTATCACTTTCTGGCAAATAGATGAGGAAGAAATGGAGGTAGTGACAGATTTTATTTTTTTGGGTTCCAAGATCACCGCAGACAGTGACTGCAGCCAAGAAATTAAGAGACGCCTGCTCCTGGGGAGGAAAGCTCCGGCAAATCTAGACAGCATACTAAAAAGCAGAGACATTACCCTGCCGACAAAAGTGCGTATAGTCAAGGTTATGGTTTTCTCAGTTGCAATGTATGGCTGTGAAAGTTGGACCATAAGGAAGGCTGAGCGCTGAAGAATTGAGGCCTTTGAATTGTGGTGCTGGAGGAGACTCCTGTGAGTCCCTTGGACCGCAAGGTGATCAAACCAGTCAGATCAAACCAGATCAAACCCCTGACTGCTCTTTAGAAGGCCAGATACTGAAGATGAAATTCAAATACTTTGGCCATCTAATGAGAAGGAAGGACTCACTGGAGAAGACCCTAATGCTGGGAACAATTAATGGCAAAAGAAGGGGACAGCAGAGAATTAGGTGGCTAGATGGAGTCATTGAAGCAGTTCGTGTGAGCTTAAGTGGACTCCAGGGGATGGTGAAGGGCAGGAAAGCCTGGAGGAGTGTTGTCCATGGGGTAGCGATGGGTCGGTTGCGACTTCGCAACTAGCAACAACTTAACAGGCAAGGAGTTGATTCTATGTACATAGATTTGCAAAGCCACAATGAGACTAAGGTATCTTTCTGAACTTTGTATGTTTATTTTGTAGCATTTTTGCTGTGAAGAAGAGGCATGTGGTATCTGCAGACACAAATTCAGTTTTGAGAACTGTAAAACATAGAAACAGAGTGCGTCAGAAGGGGCCTCCCGGGCCATCTAGTCTGACTCCCGGCACCAGCCAGCTCCGCTCACAACATGCCCACTATGTGCATGTCCAGCCTAACTTTGAACACCCTCACCAATGGGGCCTCAACAACCTCTCCTGAAAGCCCATTCCACACCCTCGGGGTCCTAACTGTCAGAAAGTGCTTCCTGGCATCTAAATGGAACCTTGGCTCCCTGAGCTTTGCTCCGTTGGAGCGTGTCCTGCCTTCCTCTGCAGGGGAGAACAGGTCTATACGCATCTCCATGTGACATCCCCTCACATACCTGTATGTTGCCAACATATCCCCTCTGAGTCTCCTCTTCTCCAGGCTGAAGAGATCCAGTTCCCTCAGTCTCGCCTCATACCCCATCCCCTGCAAACCGGCCACCAACCTTGTGGCCCTACACTGCATTGACTCTAACCTGGCTAAATCCTTTCTGTAATGAGGGGCCCAAAACTGAGCACAATACTCCAGTTGTGGGCGCACCAGAGTCATATAGAGTGGTAGTAATACCTCTCTCGATCTAGAAGCCACACTTCTGACTATGCAACCAAGGGTGGCGTTCGCCCTCTTGACCATCGCATCACACTGTTGACTCATGTTTAGCCTGCAGTCAACCAGTACCCCGAGGTCCCTTTCACAAGTGCTGCTCTCCAGCCACTTGTCACCTAACATGTACTTATGACACCTATTCCTATGCCCCAAGTGCAAGACCTTGCACTTATCCACATTGAACGCCATCCTGTTGTCTCCTGCCCACTTCCATAGTCTGTCCAGATCCGTTTGGATCCAGAGTACCTGCTCCTCAGTTGTGGCCACTGCTCCAGTTTTAGTGTCGTCTGCGAATTTGATCAGCAGACTGTTCACCCCTTCTTCCATGTCATTGATGAAAAGATTAAACAGGATCGGTCCCAGGAGAGAGCCTGGGGGGAGCCCGCTTGTCACTGGCCGCCATCCTGATGATTCCTCACTAATGGTTACCCTCTGCTTTCAGTCAGTCAACCATGCCCTAATCCACTGGACAGTGCTCTGGTGTATCTCAAAACTCCTCAGTTTCTCCACCAGGATATCATGGGGCACTTTGTCAAAGACCTTGCTGAAATCCAGGTATACCACATCTACTGCATCCCCTCCATCTAGCCATCTCAAAACCTTGTCATAGAATTCCACAAGGTTTGTCTGGCAGGACCTGTTTTTGCGGAAGCCGTGTTGTGTGGCTGTCAGCTTCCCTTCCCTATCTAGCATCACTAGATCAAAAACCATGCATCTGTGATAAAATCTTCTAGACAGAAAAACTTACAGAAATCTCAGGAAGAACATAACATTATGAATGGATAAATGGAATTCATTTGCCAAAAAATTTAAACATTGCATGAATATATACCCTCATGCTACATAATTAAGAACTAATCCTTATTTCATGATGAATAACCTTTGGACTATAATGTAACTTAAATAGATTTTTCCTCAAAAAGCATTTTATTTGTAAAAGATCCAAAATATATTTTTTAAAATTTATCATTGATTTTTATCCATCCTGGTCTTGCCTAAAGTTCTGCTGCCTGGGTGCCTCTGTTGCTCTTATCTTGTCTCTGGCTGCTCATATTGCAGCCCCAGGTCCTGACAGAAGCAGGATAGAGACATGGAAGAATGTCATCTGCTAGAAGAATTCTCTGTTATTGGAGCTGGGCAATCAATTCCAAGCCCTCCCCACAGGCATTGGTTCTGCACCATTGAAAAGAAACAGCTTTCCCAGGCTCTCCAAACCACAAAGCCAGTCTCAAACAGCCTCTGTGGATGGAAGAAAGCCTGTAGCTACCTCAAAGAGAAAGATGTGTAGTGTAAGTTGTTGACTCCCTATAGAAGGGATAGGTGTGCTGTCCTGATATGTCACTATGAAAGGTATTTTCTCCCTAATGCACATATCCAGAATGCAATGGATAGCTTGACAAGTCTCATCGAGCCCACTGATCAGCATTCCTTCCTGCTGATCCTTGCAGAAATAAATGATGCTGTTAGACATACTTCTGAATGTATTTTGACTATAAAACTCTAAGTAGGAAGGTGAGAGACCCTTGGACACAGCTAGTGTTTCATCATTCCAGCCTAATGAAAGTCACAACCAGGCTGGTAAATAAAGGAATCCTATTGGCATAATATATCTTGATTTTAGGAGCAATTTTTGACAAGTTGCTTAGGATATTCTTGTTGGCAAATTAAAATGTAGGCTAGACAATCAAACTATCAGGTGGATTTGTAGCTGGTAAACAGATTATTAAAAGAAGTTACTGTAGCTTATTTAAACTGCAGTGCAGTTACCATAACCACCACTTAAGCTGAGTTTCTCATGTTGTCCAAATCCGGGCAGCATGGTTTGCTGGAAAGGGGAAACCACCCTCCAATAGTTATGGATTACTGGAGCATGTTTACCTCACCAACAAACCACACTGTCCAGATTCAGAAGACAAAGCAAGTCACACCCTAGTGGTGATTACAGAAAATGTGTTCCACATATGCCACATTTTAAATAAGCCACGGTAGCTTATTTTGATCATATGAACCAGCCCATATAGTACTTATGACAGGCCCTTCCCTCAGCTTTGAGAAAAGTGATAAAATGGGTACCACAGGTTTCTGTCCAGGCCCAGCCATGTTCAACATCTATGACTCAGACCATGGTTCCTCAAACTACAGCCCGTGGGATGGATCCGGCCCGCACGGTCGTTCACCGCCTGCATGTGCGTTTGCTGCGCAGGTGGGGAGGTGGTGGCTCGTTTGCTTGGAGATGGTTTTGGACTCACTGGGAGATCTTCGAGTGAGCGAGCCACCGCCACCTGCCTCCCATATGCACGCGCTCACTGCTGCCTCGCAGCATGGGTGGGGAGGTGGTGGCTCGCTCGCTTGGAGATGGTCTCTGAGAGAGCGAGCCGCTGCTGCCACCTGCCTCCCCTACGAGCGCGCTTGGAGATGGTCTCTGAGCGAGCAAGCCACCACCTGCCTCCTATATGCGTCTGCTCGCCACTGCCTCGCAGCACAGGCAGGGAGGTGGTGGCTCGCTCGCTCAGAGATGGTTTTGGACTCACTGGGAGCTCTCCGAGCGAGCGAGCCACCACCACCACCACCACCACCACCGCGTGCACCTGATGCTGCCTCGCGCATGCCCAACAGCACCTCACTGGCCCATGCCCCCAGGCACTCCCACCTCACCAGCTTGCAATGGTCAATGCAGCCTTTCAACTGGCCCCCTATTCAAAAAAAATGAGGACCCCTAACTTAGACAAAAGAGGAGACACTTGCGAAATTTGCAAATGATAGCTGTGTAATTAATAGCTTACAAGAAAGTAGCAGGATAGAAGATGATACTGGGACAAAACCAATAAAATGAATTTTAACAGAAATAAATGAAAAGTTAAGCATTTACACAGGAAGGATGAGATATACTTGCCTTAAGTGCATGTAAAAAGAATCTATAGATAGTCAGGCAACATGTTGCTCACTAGTTGTTTTGAACTGCAAGTTCCATTGACACCAGTCAGCATGGCCAATGGACAATATTATGGGCATTGTAGACTGCTCTGACTGCACTGGTACCCCTAGTCTGGTTCTGAACAGCTCATAAACTAGAATAGGTTAGCAGTAGCAGTGTGATGCAGTGAAACAAAAAGGCTAATGTAATTCTTTCAATAGCAGTGTAGAGTCCTGATCACAAGCAGTCATGGTTCCATTTTATTCTGTCCTGGTCAGGCATCGCTCAGGGTATTGTGTCACGCACCAGTGCTCACAGTTTTAGAAGGATACTGGCAAAAGGGAATGTGTCCACAGTAGGGCAGCAAAAACTGTGAAAGCCTGGAGACCACATTCTATCTGGAGAAGTGGAATATGTTTAACCTGGAGAAAACACAGTTCAAAGGTAGTCTAATAGTCATCTTCAGGTATTTGAAGGGCTGTCACTTACACGATGAAGGTGCTCCAGAGGGGAAACCATGAGTCAGTGGGTTCAAATCAAGTAAAAAAATGCTTGCAACCAAATAGAAGCACTTCCAGAAGGTGTGGGTTATTTGACAGTTGAACCAGCAGTCTTGAAAGATGGTGGATTATACTTTGTTGGATGCCTTAAAAAGAAATAGATGGCCACCTAGTTTGGCAGCAGATTTCCTGCATTAATGGGGTGGACTAGATGACCCTTTCAACTCTATGATTCCCAGATGCAGTAATAACCATTACATTAAGATTTATTAATCTTCCATTCAGGCCCTACTTATAAGCCTTCCAGAAGACTACTTGTCACATGCTTGTTGGCAACTAGATGGACCTTTGGTTCAATCCAGCAAGGCTCTTAAGAAAACATTAAGGTTTTTTTCCCCAAAGTCATCTAGGATCATGCCAATTTGGCCATCAATATACCAAGGATTAAGTTAATATTCATATTTCCATACAGTCTTGTTTCTACCAAAAATATATCTCTGGCAGATGCAAATAACATCAGGCATATCATAGCAATTTTTGTCAGCATGCTTTAAGACCGTGAAGAGAAGAAACAGACCAGTAGAAGATTCAGGATAGCAACAGGAACAACAATATGTAACAAAGAGTTCATAATTTATGACATAAGAGGAAAGGTTGGAAGACTTGGGTTTGTTTATTTTAGAGAAAAGATATAGAAGTAGTACACGGTATCACTTTGCAAATATCTAACTGCAATAAAGATGACATGCAGCTGTTTACTCAAGTCACATGGAGAAAACAAGAATCAAGTTTAGTCAGAACAGATTTAAACAGGTTAATAAGAAATGCTTTTGAAGCACAGACAGCCAATGGATAGGTTACATGGGGGAGTTGTAGAATAACTCCTTGAGGTTTTTAAAAAGGAGGTGTACATCTACCTACAAAGGAGCCAATACTGTAGATAACCCTCAGGGCATGAAATTCAATACTGTAATCCCTTTGTCTGACAAGATTACCTCACCCTTAAAGTGGCACCAACTTGTCCCTTCTGATATATCACAAACTTGATCACAAAGGCCTTTTCCTACTCCCCTTAAAAAAAAACCCTTGACAAGTATATATGATCAAGGAGGATGCTAAAGACACACATGGAATTTAAAGTCTCACTGCTCAGGGAGCTCCTACACTCAGTGCTTTCCACCTGGCAAGTTACTGTACTTTTAAAAACCTGACTTGTTTGAGCAAGCTGGCAGATGGCAAAGAATCTAGCATGTCAGAATATTATCTTGCCCTAAGGTTTAAAGTTACTTGCCCCCCACCCTCATCATGTTCCAACAGATTCTTCCTCCTGGAACTCCATTCCCAAAACAGTCACTGCAGAACACACTTTTTCTTCCAAGGGTTCCCAAAAACAAACCTTTGCCAAATTATCCAACAAGTCGTGTTCCTAAGATCACCAACAGACCAGGAAAAAAAAAAACAAAAAACTTTCAGCCCAGCCTGCTCCTGTGACTAAATATAACAGAAACGAGACACCCACTTTCACAGTCTTGCTAAAGTCTTGTGAGAAACCACGGTTAGCAACCGACGAGATTAAAAGAAAAGGCTGAAGCCGGGCTTGCTCCTCTGCCTTTATAACTATCTAAAGCAGGTGGCACGTTCCACGGTATGAATATAAGAATGTATCCCCAGTTAAAGAATGCACATGCCGCTGCCGTTGAAAAGATCAGTTCCAGTGGCTGTTTGAGAAGTTGGCAACATCACGGCCCCCAAACTGCCCAAGAGATATTCCAGTGATTCCTACGGCTGGCCTGCGATTCCCACATATCCTTCCTCCCGCAACTCAAGTCCTGCCGTCCTCCTCACAAGCCAAACAATCCCCTACCCCGTCAATACCTACTTAGTCCTTCCCTCTCCGCCACCCCCTTTGGCGCCAATCAGCTTACACTAGCCCCAGAAAAACCCAATTCAAAGCCCCATGTAACCCCTAATAAAGACTCTCTCATTAGCCTAACAAAAGCAGCGGAGAGTCTTGCGGCCCCTTAAAGATTAACACGTTTATTCGGGCACAAGCTTTCGAAGACAGCCCACTTGCACTGGACGACTCAAGCAGCGCCCACGAAGGCTTGTGTCAGAAATAATGTGTTAGCCGTTAAGCTGCCACAAGACACTTCGCTGGTTTTAGTGTCACGGATTCACACAGCTACGGAAACGTTTCAGAAAGCGACTTTTCGTCAACCACATCCACCTCCGTTACCAGGGCGATGCCACCACTACTCTCTCTCCGGTCCTTCCCATCACGTTGCCAGGTAATTCCCAGCCGCCGCTTCTCCTCCCCTCGCTGCCAGGGTACTGCCATTGACGCCCTCCTCCTCCGCCCGCCCTCAGTGTAACACACCAGCGCCGTAACTCACTCGTCCAGCTGCGAGCTCCGGCGCCTTCTTCACCTTCAAGCAGCGTCTCCTAGCGCCGCTTCTGAAAGCGCCTCCCTCGACTCATGAGGGAGAGGCGGAGCGCAGGAAGGACGCACCGCCCTAAGTGACCGAGCCGCGGCGAGAAGGCTACAGCAGGGCGAAGTGAGGCCAAGGCATAGAGAGGAGAGGGACAGAAGGGTAGAAGGCGGGACAAAATTAGACGCCTCTTGGGAATGCGGCGGATTGCAAGACCGATTGACCACAACAGGTCACACCCCTGCCTGTGCTCTCCCGCCGCTATCTGGAATCGTGCAGGGGCGTCCAACCACGGACGACCTCGTTTATGACGTCGGGCGAGGAAGGGTTTTATCCGTGCGGCGCGGGGGGGGGGTTAGGGAAAGAGGAGCGAGGGATGGCTCACAGGCAACATTGGAGGGATTATAGATTCAAACGTGTGCCCGCGATACTTTTGATTGACCGAACAGAAATGTTCTTTTTCTAAACTCATTTTTAGTTTTAGAATGTTTTCGAGTTTAAAACAAACCTAAGGCATACAACTCTTGTGCTCAGTTCTGGTCGCCTTACCTGAAAAAGGACATAATTGAGTTGGGAAAAAAAGTGCAGAGAAGGGCAGCAAAAATTATGGGGCTTGAGCAGGCCCTCTATGAGGAGGAGCTGCAACAACTGGGACTGTTCAGCTAGGAAAAAAAGGCGAGTAAGGGGTGACCTGGTAGAGGTGTTTAAAATAATGCATAGTGTGGAGAGGGTGACTCACCTCCATTACACCCAAACTAGGGATCATCCCTTGAAGCTGAGTACTTCTTCAGACAGCCTATAGTTAAATTGTGGAATTAGCTGCCACAGGAAGTGGATATGACTGCCAATCAGGATGGCTTTAAAAGGGGACTGGACAGATTCATGGAGGAAGAGGCTCTCAGTGGCTTTCTGCTGTATCCCTCATCAGAGGCAGCAAACCTTCATGCACCAATTGCTGAGGAGCTTGGGCAGGCAGAGGTTTTGCACCCATCCTGTGTGAGGGATCCTGGGCAGCTGGCTTGCCATGGTGTGTTTGCCCTGGAGTGCTGGACTAGATGGACCTTTGGTCTAATCCTGCATGGCTTATGTTCTAAGGCACTGCAAAGCTTCCAAATGGACCACTGAGTTGAGCAAAGTAATGGTAAGGCATTTGCAGAACTGGCAGCCTTGTGCATAAAATGGCAAGCTTCTAGCTTTGGCCTATCCATGTTCATTTAGAAATAAGTCCCACAGGGTTCAATAGGACTTACACTCAAGTCCAGTGAAGTCTGCATAGGACTGCAGCCAAAATTTCAGCCTATGGTTTTAGAATGGGAGTAGGCAGCTTTGTGGTGTCTGTAAGCCTGTTTGGCAAGTGAAGAATGGGCTTACAGACCAGTTGTCTGATAAAGTGTATTTTAGTTTCCCAGGCCTTTAGTCTTTGTTTTTAAGGGTTGGTGGCTAGCTGGGGCATGCTGAGTTGTGCGCCGTTTATCTTGCCTAAACTTGCCCGGAATTGTGTCTTAAATACCTTTTTAGAACTGTACACTGCTGCTGACTCTTGTTTTGATGTATACTTTGGCTCGATATTGTTTTAAACTTCTAATGGGATTGCATTTTATGCTGCATTATTGGGGTTTTACTTTTGTGAACCCTCCAGGAGCTTGGGCTATTAGACAGTATATGAAATATAGTAAGTAAATGTGATTTTGGTGTAAGTTGGACAGGAGAAAGTTAATGGTCCAAGCTGCTGGCCAGGTATGACTGTGCATGCCTTCTGCTATGTCAACTGCAGACTCTGAGTTGCCATGGGGTATTTTAACAAATTACTTCTTGATGCAGGATCATTTGGTAAATGTTCCGAATAAGAAAAGTCAGCCAAAGAAGGAAGTGGAACTTCCCTGTGCCCAGCTATGGATGAGCTAATCTAGAAGTGCTTCATGCCTCTACCAGTGGAAAAAGTGTTGATTAGAGGATTTTGCCTTTGTGAGCCAAAGGTGGGCAGAATTATAGATCAAAGGTTACTGATAAATCTCCACAAGATGTGTAGTAGAGCACAAAGGTTTATTTTTTTGTTGTCTATTTCTTTATCATATTCCAATTTTTCTTCTGCAAGGAAACTTAGGGAGCTTATATAATCCTCCTCACCCTGTTGTCCTCACAGTAACCTTTGGCTAAGTCTGTAAAATGGCACAAAGTCACCTAGTGAGCTTCATGTTGGATGAGGATTAGAACCTGCATCCAGTCCAGCACTTTAATTTTTATACCACACAGGCTCTCAGCAAAATGGTTCCTCCTCCTCAGAATGTATGCCATTCAAATGAAGAAAGCTGGGGCAGGGTGAGCGAGCAACCAGGAGTAGATTTTTGTGTTGGAAGAGTTCAACTCAGTTCTGGTATTGAAATCATTTTTTAAAAATCTAAGTTTTTTGTAGTGAGCTCTGATTGGATTCTCTCAGGATTCTGGCATCTGCAGGAAAGGGGCATCTGCAGACAAAGGACAAATACAGTTTTAAAAGAAAAAGATGCAACAAGGTAACTCATCCCATAGGTATGCAGAGCACAGAAATCTAGGTGGGTGTTAAGCCAGAACAGGGTACACTGTGTTATGAGTAGCAACAAAGGATTGCACATAATGGCCCTGCCCAGTGTGTGCCACTCCTTTCCTCTCAGTTCCAGCCTTGCTGTGTTGAAGAGCTGTTTTCCTCTTGTTTAATGGAACTCAAGTAGAATTCTCTGCATGTGTCCCCAGGTCTTTGCAGAGCATGAGTGAGCAGAACTGCTCAGGCCTTCCCTTTCACCACATCAAGGTTGGAACTGAAGGCCCTACATGGTGGAGTTTGTGGGGTCGTAGCCTCATGCCTATACCCATGCATTACTGGGCGCTGTTTATTCATATGTAATATCTGAACAGGACTGGTGCTTATTGATTGGCTACACTAAAAAAAAGACGCAATGTGTTGTAGTAACATGTGTGTTTTTCCCCAGCTCTTCAGCCTAAAAGACCCCAGAGCAGCTAGTTCAAAGAGGAGGAGCAAAATGGAAACAATTTCTCAACAGAGGGATGAGCCCTTAAGCTAAAAGCATCTTGGTTGGGGAGAATCTCAATTGTAAAAATGAATGAATGTGTTACCTAAACTGAACTTTATTTTCCAAATGTTACCAACTGTGATCCCGAAAAAAGTTTTTCAAGACAGTTAAATAGTTTTATTTGGAATGGCAAGAAACCAAGAATCAGATTCAAAATATTACAGGACACAAAGGAGAAAGGAGGTCTTGCTGTACCTAATTTGAAGTTATATTATTATGCAGCAAGCCTGGTCTACATTGCAGATTGGATTTTAAATGTTAATGATAAACGAGTAAAGTTGGAACTGGCTGATCTTGAAGATGTAATACACAATATTTTATGGGCTAAAACATCAGTTAAGAAGGCTCTGATCATAAATAACCATGTGCTAAGAGATGGTTTAATAAAAATGTGGTATTCCATGAGGGAAAAAAATAGTCCTCCAATTTCCCCCCTGATGTCCCTGGTTGAAGCATATGGAAAACACTCAAGAAGATGTTATTGACCAATCAAGACAAATTAAATCTTGGCAACAACTGAAAGATGATGGAAAAATATACAATGGCTTGTTTATCATCAATTGATTTCAAGACTGAAGGGGAAAGCTCAACCAGAAGAAGGCATTTTAAGAGATCTGACAGATTTTGAAATGTTGATTACACAGCGGAATGATCACTTACTGGGAAGACTTTACAAACTGTTATTACACTATGATACTGAAAGCCACTAAGATAAGAAACATGACAATCTGGAAACAATCTTGGTGAAGAAATACCATCTGGCCAGTGGGAAGCTCTTTGGAAGAAAGACATTAAGTTCACTGCTAGTCAAGCATTAAGAGAACATTGGTATGTTTTATAGGTGATATGTTACTCCCAAAGATATTGGGAATATAGATGAGAATTGTAATGCAAAATGTTGAAAATGTAACAAGGTGGATGGGACCTTCTATCATATGTGGTGGACTTGTGAAATAGCACAAAAATTCTGGAAATTGATACATGCAGAAATGCAGAAAATCTGTAAAATTAAGTTTCTGATGAGTCCCAAGAACATGCTTTTGAATATCATTCCAGAATAACCTTTTTAAAATATGTCAGAGTTATTTAAGTATATGACTATGGCAGCAAGAATCATAATAGCTCCAAAATCGAAATCACCAGAGCCCCCAACCATTGAAGAATGGAGAAATAGATTAACAGAATATGCAGTGATGGCAAAGCTAACTAATTATGTAACTAGAATACCAGTAGAGGAATTTAATGAGAAATGGCAATTTTATTGTGCTTAGCATGTATAATGGAAGTTCGGGGGAGTTTGGAAGGGAACAAGGAAAGCATTAGAATTTGAACTGGTTAGAAAATCTGTTGATGGATAGAATAATGATTCTTTTTTCTTTTTTGCAAACTCTCACAGAGCGTGGGAAGATATGAAGAGAGTTGGTTCTGGGAGCTGCAGTATATGGGCTGTGTTTGTACTTCTCTTGGAAATTTGGTTTTTAACTTTATTTTGTTCACTTTAGTCTGTTCTGTTTGTGTTAGTTTCTCTTTTGTTCTGTATTTTTTTACTATGTAATTGTATATGTTGGGAAAATTAAAAAACCAGGGATGAGCTCTGCTCCCTATCTTTCCCTCTGCATCAGCCTGATAGAATGGCAGCAGCTGTTGCTAAATGACTGTGGAGGAGAGAGAAACCCAGTGGGGTTGGTTGAATAATAAGTAGTGAGTGGACCTGTCTTCACACAGTATTGCCCTTACTTTGATGCAGCAAAGCCTTCAAGCAAAGTTACATTGTTCCCACACTGTTCAAGTACAGCCATGCTCATGGGCACTTCTGGGGGTACACCCTGTCATGGTAACCCCTTATAGCCCCCTGAGAAGCTTGTCCAGCTATTCCTTCTGAGCAGGGCTGCCCCACAGCAGTGGGGAAAAGACAGCCATATAGCTCTTTCCCTTGGCCAACTCCCTGGCTTCAAAGAGGATTGCAAAACTATGGGCTGGTGAGTAATATGTGCCACCTAGTGATGGTTAGTGGTACTACAGGCTTCAAATGCATGGGCCTATGTTTGGAGTCATCAAAATGAATTAGAACCATACAACCTTGATGTTGTTTACCAGAGCTGAGCACGGCTGTCAAAGACAGAACATTTTGAAGGGTGTTCGTTCATAGGGTTACCATAAGTTGAAGATGACTGGATGGCATGAAACAGCAACCACCACCTAGGGTTCATACCCTCGGTTCCTCTTAGTATGCATGCCAAGTTTCAGGCATCCAGTTTTCACAGTTTAGAACTATGGTGTTGAATTTTATTCTGTGCTAGAGAAATCAAGGGAGTGCACATTTGTCTTCAGGACCGGAGCACAACGATGTACATCAAGCTGAGAGAGATGTGTTCAGGGTCACCAAAAGACCTTTGGGGAAGAACAGATATAAATCTTACTTTCTTTGACACAAGTCTGGTGTTAAGACTACAATTCTATGGGCTTCTGACCTCATCTATGAGGCCATGGAATTTCTTGGTGTTCCATCTCCAAGATCACAGGATCTGAAGGCTGAGCCACACCCCCTTACAGCCAGCATGGGAATACCTGTGCTGGTCACAACTGGGCCTTGGAAGAGGAAAAAGTGTGCTGAGTGGGGAGGAGGCTTGGAATGCTGACTCCAGTCAGCACCCCAACATCCTTCCTCCCCTGACATTGCCTACAGAAAATGCAAGGCATGGCGGGGGGGGGGGGGACGACACAAGGCACTGCATTCCTCATCAGCTTCTGAGTTTGGAGACTTTTGAGCATTTGCAGGGGGGGCATGATAGGATTGTACCCTAAAACTAGCAATGACAGATATTCTTTCTCTAATGATTAAATATTAACTGTATTGAATAATTCAAATAAAATGATGTTACCACTAAATATAGCCATGAGTCTAGAACTATCATGATGAGGAATGCAATAAAGATTGCCTTTTCATCATTTTGCCCAAAACAAAACGCTGGTTTGTCAATAATTTGCCAGATTAAAAGATAACACCATAGCACTATTTTCTACCTCAAGTGTCGCACAGAAGCTACTTGAAATCCCATTACCTTCAGTACTAAACCAATTGCTAATTTGAAAGTTACCCAAGGCAAACTCATTGTTTTTTTCTTTTCAACATGATTTTTGCCATTGATTTATTTTTAACAGGAGGAGATGAACATGGTACTTTAATGGCGGGGGGGTTTGTCATAGTTGTTTATATGTATAATAATGAGCTTGTGAAATCCATTTTATAATCCCATGTTATCAGGAAAGCATGGAAGCCCCAATGTAAATACGTTTGCTTGAAAAAATTCCTATGGAATGGGAGTTATCCACTTGAGTTTTACCAAATCATCAGCCTTTCAAAATGAGCAAATGCTTTCAAATGGTGATCAGGGCTGGCAGGAAGAGGAGGCAAGTTTGGGTACCTGTCAAAGGCCCACAGCTTAGTAGAGGACCCTGGGCTTGTATCTCCTCTTCATCATTGCAACCTACTTGTTCATCTGCCTTGTTGTTTGGTCAACATAATGGTGGTGGTGGGGAGGAGGTGGTGGTGGTCACAATGATGAGACAGAAAGGCTGGTGACAACAGCAATGGTAAGGCGTCCATTAGGGGTGCCTTGCCTAAGGGGAACCCTTAGGAAATGAATTTCTTCCATTATGACAGATGGAACTGTGAAGAGTGTAAAACAAAATAGCCTATCTGTGTTTCGGAAGATGGAACAGTCCTTTCAATAAAATGAACTATATTTAGTGCAAGGTCCTTGATTAGAAAGGCACCAGAACTTTACAGCTATACAACCATAGAAGGTTGACATGCTCAGCTTCTCTTCCCGTTCTGTTCAGGATGAACTTTGTTCTGCATCAGGGGTCTCAAACTCGCGGCCTGCGGGCCAATTGCCGGGACGGGCGGGGCACGGGGGAGGGGCCTTGTGGCCTTCAAAGTGCCAGCGGCACGGCCCACCACCCCCGTGGTGGTGGAATACTTGATGTGGCCCAGCCTCACTCAGACTCTACTTCCAGCGGCCCCCAGGTAAGTTGAGTTTGAGACCCCTGTTCTACATGATGTTCCAATGACCTTTCCTCTACTTTCAGATCAGCAGAAGTACTTCTGTATTCCTATTTGCGTAGTCCCAAAACTATTGTAAAAGAGCTCACAGGAATGGTTAGGTGGAAGTGTTTTCCCACCTTTAAAGGGCAATCCTCTGTATGTTTAGACAGAAAAAAGACCTACACTTTCCAGTATGCCCAGGAAACCCATGCTGAGAATTGTAGATTTTGTTTGCTGTCTGAACAAGCATATGATTCTGCCTTTAAAGTATCAAATGGGTAAAGTGCTGCAGCACCCCCTGTATTTCCTTTCACATCATAGCATCCTAAAAAAGGCAGTTCTTTCTTGCCAAACTTGAATGTAGTGCAGATAGTAGTATGTGTGTGGACCTGAAAGAGGGTTTTAAAGCGAATTCCTGCTCTTCTGGATTTTTAGGACATCCCTGCAGTATAATCCATTAAGATCCATCAGAGAGAGCAACCATAGAACCTAATGTCCTCCTGCCTTTACTGCTGTCAGATGTTTTACCTTACCATGCAATAATAGTTTGCTACCAACACTTTTACTGGATAATTCAGGTGCTTGGAGCTAGAAGGATACATTTTTTTTATATTGACCCATAATGCAGGACTAGCAAAAAGTGGACTAGTTAGAAAAACTACTAGGTGAATCCAAAATTGGCTGCTAAATTGGACACAAAGAGTACTAATCAATGGCACCTTTTCAAACTGGAGAAAGGTAACTAGTGGGATGCCACAGGTTCAGTCCTAGGCCTGGTGTTCTTCAACATCTTTATTAATTATTTTGATGAGGAAGTGCAAGGAACAATAATCAACTGTGATGCAGCTGCAAAAAAGGCAAATGCTGTTTTGGGATGCATTAACCGAAATATCACTTCTAAATCATGAGAGGTAATAGTTCCCCTATACTGTTGACTAGTCAGACCTCATACTGTGTTCAGTTCTGGGCACCAAGATTTAAGAAATATGCCAAAAAAATAGGGTCCAGAGGGGGACAATAAAAATTATGAAGGGTTTGGAAACATTGAGGAAAGACTGCTAGATAAAAACCTCGGTAAGGATATTATAATTGTCCTATTGGTTAGCCCATCATCTGATCTCCTGGTCCTGTATATCCGTTAAGCAGGTTGCAGTCCTTTTGGGGTAGGGGGGCAGTAATTCATCTATCTCTGCTGATGGAACTATTGTATAGCTCACCCTGAACTGTCAGGATAGGGCAGACTATAGGTATCTATATGGAATGTTATTTGTTCGGCGGTTTATGTTGATCCTATGCCATGAATTTAGTGTTGGTTGCAAAGGCTTGGATTCCAACTTGTAAACCATTCAAAGAGCCAATGTGGTTATGAAGGACAGTATATAAGAGCTTGTATAAATAAATAACTGAAACTTGCTCTTTTTGGAATGGAAAGGTTTTTGATCTGTGGAGCTCCAGCTGGCAAAAGGGAGGAGATAATTTTCCCAAATTCCCTCCATCCTGCAGTATTCTTGCCATCTCCCACATTGTTCCACAAGGCCCAAGCCTCCCCAAGCAGATTTTCAGCAGGTGCAGATGGAAGAGGGAATCAAACAAAAGTCTGCTGCCCCCTTCGCTTTTCACCAGCAGGGCCATTGCATAAGCAGATTTCATGCAATTCCATTTTATCCTCCCCGGAACCTTGTGATACAATTTCAGCTAAACATGTTGTTTGCACAAAGCCTCCCAGTAAACCTCAAGTCTCAGCAGGGGATTTCAAACTGATAGCATTGTTGATTTCAAAAGACAAACATTCGAACAGAGAGAGCACTGATCTGGGAAAAGGATGGTGCTGGTTATCACCACAATATTCTGTAAGCCCCTGCTGGTTAACATATTGTGCAAAAGGATGTTGAATTTTTATTCATAATAGGGAACATGTGGCCCTCCAGATGTTAGTGAACTGTAGCTCTCATCAGCCTTAGCTAGAACTACTGAGGCTGTGGGGTGATGGAGTTGCATTTGGAGGGCCACACATTCGCCATCCACTATTCTAGAAGATTAACAACACTTGACAGTGGCTGTTTTGATGGCTCTTGCAGGTGGCTTTCCCTTTCCAGCATGTACTACTCCCCACTCTCTCTTCCCATGCCAATGGAAGCTTCCTTTTCATGGCAAATTCCAGCAGGGACAGCAACCATTGAGGCCAGGGCCAGGCCCACCAGCAGGCAGAGAGGGTCAGTGGGTCAGCTTGCCCAAAGCCCTGATAGCCCAGAACCAGCAGCTTCAGGCAAGCAGAGTGGGTTAGCTCGAAGCTGCTGGTTCTGGGCTTATCAAATGGCAGTAAATGGTTGATACTACCACATCTTTACTCCCAGTACAAATGCAGAGGAAGAGGTGGTCGTAGGAGTTTATTTTATTCTTTTGCTCCAAGTTCCCAAATAACTTGACCAGCCTTGGGTGCTGTACTCCTTTGCTGCAGGGTGGAGTGCCTGTATTTGCTTAACTGCCCCAGGCAGCAAGGTGATTTGGACCAGCTGACTAAGGCCAAAGCCCTGGAGGAAAGAGTTCAATTCCTGATGTGTTTCTTAATTAAGCTCCCCAGGGACTGCTAATTACATTGGTAAATGTACATTTTTCCTAACTAGATATGATCCTCCCAGTGTTTGGATTGTTGTTACTGGAGATAGAAGATTTCCAACAAAATATACAATCTACACAAACTAACAATAGATGGATAATGGATGTGGAGAGCAGGGACCAGCTTCAGCAGGTCCCAATGTCATTTCCACCTGCCTCTCTTCTGGGATTCTCCCCACAGGACAATTGAAGGCCCTGGGCTGGGCGGTGGGGGGCAGTTTGGTGTGGAGGCAAATCCAGCTGGTGCATCCCCTGATGGCTTCCTCAGCCTGATTCTGGCTCCCCAGTGGAGGGCAGGAGGAGAGAGGTTGGAATTCAAGCTGGTGCATGTGTTGCAACTGATGTCACACATCACATAAAAGCTCCAACCTGTGTACACTGTTGTACAGCAATGTAGTTTTAGACCTTGGACCACAATGGGAGCTTCTTTTCAACTGCTCCAGGAGTTACTTCAGTTGTGAAGTGTGCACTTTTTTGTTCTCCCTGCCACCACTCCATATTTTATCTCTTTGTGCCTGAGATGTTAGGACAAAACATGTTTACCAATGCTGATAGAAGAAATACTCTGAGCTGGCATAATTTCATATTTAAAACTTACTTAGATCATTGCACCATCATGACTTCAAGAATGACATGGAGTTTGCCCACCAAGGGCTGACCAGCTTGCCACCGCCACAGCCATCTGCTGTGCTTTGGTCATCTGGGGCCCAACAGCAATAGGGCCCTGAGCTCAGCCCTAAGGTCCAACTCTAGCTCTCTCTCTACCTGTATGTACAATTAAGAAAGGCAGTGTGGTGTAGTTGATGGATTGGGATTCAGGTGATTTGGGTTCTAGTCCCTGATCAGCCACAAAGCTGACTGGGAGACTTTGGGCCACTCACAGACTCTCAGTCCAACCTAGGAGGGTGAAGGTGATCCTTCTTTGATGGCCCTCCACTGCAGTGTGTAACCCTTTCTATTCAGAAAGGCATTTAGCCTGTGTGTTTTGACACTTATACACAGTGGTATTTTTAATCTTGATTTTATCTATTTTTGAACTTTTATTATGCTTTTATAATATTATTGTTGTTTTATTGGTTATAATGGTTGTAAACTGCCATAGACAATTTATGGAAGCGCAAAAAAGAAATAGTTTAAATCAATACATTGATTTGTTTGGGAGGTGTGCAACAAGTTGTCACTGCTCTGTCCAAGTAAGAATGGGATTGCTAGAGGATGGTGCAGAGAGAACAATTATTTTTTATATCATAAGAATTATTGCCTGTCCAGCTAGCTGTTAGCAAAATAAATAGATTTCTGGCAAGCAGTGCATTGATCGTATTAACTCCTAAGAGCTGCTTTAAGACGATTAAGGTACTGATTCTTTATTCTATTAATAGGTAGGGAGGTAAAACCCAGCAGGAAGGTTATTCACATCAGCAATTCAAATTATAGCAGCAAAAGAGATGTGTCTCACTTGATTGTGAAGGGGGAACCACATGAAGAATGACAGAAGGCTCTTTCAGATGGTATGAAGCCCCTGATGATGTGGGAAACTTGTGACTTTTCATTCTGGATGTGGAGATGGCTTCCAGGTGAGAAAAATCTGAACCAGAGCAAAACATGAGTGTCCTAGTAATTCAGCAAGGAAAGTATAGACTCCCCATCCATGGATGGTGACTGAATAGCACTGGGAAGGTATAAGAAATCTGGCTGTGGCATTACCTCTCAAGAACTTAACAATTTGTGGTTATTTTTGTCATTGCCACTGTACTTTTTGCACAGCACTGGCCTGACCTGACTGGCTTTATGTACCAAGAAGTATAAGGAAGCCCTTGATCTAAACACATCAAGGAAGGGCTTGTGCAGCCATAGCTGTCCCCTGGCTGCTGCCATGCCATGGCTGGTAGTTAAGGAAGCAGCCGTTTCTTGCTCAAAGCTCCTTTGGAGCTGGATTAGGCTGAGAGAGGATGGCGGATCCCAGTTTGCTTCATAGTGGAGTAGGAATTCGAACCAAGGTGTTGATGCTCCCCATCCAACACATGGCTCACTAAAGGCTCTTGTTGGCCCAGCTTTTGGGATAAGAAGCCTGGGCAACACATGCAGCTGAATCAGTTGAAAGAGTTTCAAGGTAGCAGAACTGATTGAAATTGTACAGAGGATGGAGGATTTTTAAATGAGTCCTTACATTTCTTTTTTAAAGACTCTGCAAGTAGAAAATAAGCACAGCATGAAACAGATTGGACTCGTGATGTACCTTTTAAGGTACAGATTTTTTAAATGCCAGGGGATTTAGAAATCAAGAGACAACTACTACTGTAAATTAAGAAGTGGCTTTAGTGTAATGCCTTTAGTGCCATCCTAAAAGCACCTGGATACAGCCCTAAGATTCTAACTATCACTCAAATGTCTATCAGGCTGGGCCAGGGATAAGCCAATAGATGGCATGAGGACTGTATGTTGTTTGCTTTATTTATGTGATCCTGTAACATTCTAAAAAGATCCTAATATGATCTTAAAGATAATTGACTTTTCCAGTCTGTGGCTGCATACCCTAAGTCAGAGGTAGGCAACTGGGTTCCGTCCAGATGTTTTAGACTAGGTCCCATTAGCCCTAGCCAGCATGGTCAATGGACAGGATCTATCCGTGTTGTTGTCCAGGACATCTGGAGGACATCAAACCATGTTGCCTACCACTGCTTTAAGTCTTTAAAGTGGGCAGTGGGGTGTATGTTTAAGTAATAATGAAAAATATTTTAAGAATGTACAATGAACATTTTTAGAAACCTAAACTCGATAATGCCAATTTCTTGTTTTCAGTGCTGAAAGTGATGCATGATCTTTACTGATCTTAAGGAAATTGATATTTTAACACAATGACCCGCTTGTAGTCATGGCTACCCTTTTTCTCAACAAGACCCTGATAGTGAACAACAAGGATAATGATGAGTTAGAACTGGAACGCGAGCTCATCCGAGCACTGGAGAACAAGGTGATGCTCCTCTACTTTGGCTCCAGTGAATGTCCTGAATGCAAAGAGTTTGCGCCCATCCTGAAAGAATTCTTTGTGAAACTCACGGATGAATTTTATGTGGAGAGGGCATCCCAGCTGGTCCTGGTCTATGTGTCACTGGATGAGACAGAGGAGAAGCAAAACAAGTTTTTGAAGACCATGCCCAAGCGATGGTTGTTTTTACCCTTCCAGGATGAGTTTAAGAGGTAAGAATTCGCAAACTGAGACCAGGCGATGCCCATATTCAGGGATAGTAACCATATGCACATGTATTTAATATGCATCCTTTTTGTCAACGCCATTCATCCCCTGTAAGGGCACCTGTAACAGCAACCTGAGGTGGGAATATTTCTTTCTATTCCTAGAAGGGAAAAAAATCCTTGCACCCTTGAGATATACTGGACTACAATTTCTACCATATCCTCCAAGGCAGCCATCTACATCTCTGTTAGATACCAGCTGCCTCTGCCCCTTTCCAGTAAGGAAAGCCCACAACAGGATACCAAGTTTTTGCTCCCCACACCAAGTTTCATGAAGTTCTTCTTGGTATAGTTCAAGGGACAAGTTAAGAAAAGGGAGACAGGCTTCATTTTTAAGTTATCTGCTTCTGCAGTGCTGTTGCTGACGAAGTCATGGAAGTAGCACTCAGTGTCATCAGATCTGACAATATGAGCTAAGGACACATATGAGTATGATTAAGTAGGTGCATTTTTGGTTAAGTTTCATAGAATCATATAATAGCAGAGTTGGAAGGGGCCAAGAAGGCCATCAGGTCTGGCATTAGAAAAAGATATCTTGACCTTCCTGTTTAAGTTTAAAGAAGGGGAAATGTTAAAGGTTTTGTACTGAGACAAATGTTTAAACAAGGCAGAGCCAGCATGATGTAGTGGTTAAGAGCATGGGACTGTGACTCAGCCATGGAGCCAACTGAGTGGCTTTGAATCAGTCACAGACTCTCAACCCAGCCTACCTCACAGGGTTGTTGCTGTGGGAATAAGGGAAATGCAGGAGGAAGAGAATGATGTAAGCTGCTCTGAGTTCTTTGAAAGAAAAAAGGTGGGATATAAATCTAATAAATACAAAAATAAAAACTGCATACTTGCTTTTATCAACTTTATGGGTTGGATTCCCCCATTTTACTAGGTTGTATGCAATGGAACCATTTGGTTGAGCATGCAGTTATGTGTTGGTGTGTAGCCAGTGTGCCATTTAAACATTTTAAAATATCAGACACAGTTAACCAGCAGAAGATTACAGGAGATCACTCTTCCCAGGTAGCCAAGATCTCTGTTGACCAAAGCTTTATTTACAGGATTGATCAAGTGAAAGTGAGCACCTTATCAGTGTTCAGTCTCAGTGCCTCAATGAACTCAATGAGGCTTGCTTCTGAGTAGGCATGTGTAAGATTGCTCTATAATACAACCAAATATAGTACAATGAAGGCATGGTCATCTACCATATATGTTTTGGGTTTTTTTCTTTGCTATTTTTCTATTGTTTCTGTAGAATGAGTACTCTTGTAATCCTGCTTTCCCAGAGTAGGGAACAATACATTATACTCAACATTGGCTTCTAATGATACTCAACATGGAGGTTCTAATATCACCTCTGTACCAAGTTCCCCCCTCCCCAATTTCCCTGCAATGAATGATAATTTAGTGCATGTCATAACTCTCATGTTGTGCATTCCCCTCCTTTTTTTCTGCAGGGAAATAAAGAGTAAGTGGGCCCTACATACTGCAGGGAAGAGAATTTTGACACAGAGATGCCACATCTGGGGGCCTCCCCCAGATGAGTATTATGTTCCACTACCCCCAAATACAAAACTATACAAGGGAAACAAGCAGTCATCCATTTGTTAAGTGACTATAGCCCTTTTATACCTCCTTCTGCTTTCCAAATAAAAATAGTCTTACCTGTCCCCAGCCCACATCAAGCCTCTATTCCAGTCCTTGGGAGCCTGATCTTTTCCACCCCTGTTTTGTTTCCTAGGGAGCTGGAATTGAGATTTTCTGTGAAGGACCTCCCAGTAGTTGTGGTGTTGAAGCCAAACGGAGAGGTCATTGTTGCCAATGCTGTGGAGGAGATCAAGCAGACTGGCCCAGCTTGCTTCAAGAACTGGCAGGAGGCAGCTGACCTGGTGGAGAGGAACTTCCTCTTGGCACAGGATTTCGACAATGTGGCTTTGAGGAGCGTCACTGATCCCATCTGTCGGTTCAAATACAAGCTGGCAAAGAAAAAGAGGAAGAAGAGAAACAAAGATGATGATGGGGGTGCCTCCCCTTAATAGGGCAGGCCTTCCTTTTGAAGCTCCATGTAGGTGAACTTGGCTGTTTCCTAGCCCATGAGCAGCACCCTGTGTCTCATGCACATCTGCTGTACCACCCACAAATTGTTTCTGAGCACACGTCTTTGGAAATTCTAAGTTCTTTGCTTTCATAGCGTTTTTAAAAGCTTGTTTCCGTCCCAGATGATTATGAAGATAGTCTTGCAAGTGTGTAGGCCATGCCTAGTGAAATCACAGGATGAGTTCTTTGGTGGTGTCGAGGTACACTGTCAGTGCTGTGCTTCGCACTTTGCTGCCTCCCCAGAAAAGCCGAGGCACATGTGCTCCATTGCACACTTTTTGCAAATAAGCAGCTGTGCCCTCTTGCATGCTTTATGAACATCACGGACCGCCTACTTCCATATGTATTCATTTACACTGTTTATATATTGCTTAATCTAAGAACATCTCTATGTAGTTTATGTAAAGACTAAAAACCACAGCTAAATACATACCCAATCCAATATAATGAACAGTTCTAACTAACAACAAAAGGAAATAGAGGAAAATAAAATGAAGCAGCATCTTAAACAGTTACAAGCCAGAAGGTGCTTAAAACTTGGCATATTTTCTGCTTCACTAACTGCATGGGGGGGGGGTACCACCACCGAGGAGGCCTGTTTCCATAATGCTGCATGTTGATATCTTGCTTGTTGCAGAATGGCCAATGGGGCCTCTTCCAAAGATCTTAAAGGTCAACAGGGTGCACAGCACAGTATGCTGGTCCTGCGTTATCTAGGAAAAGGTATGTCTGCAACAACAGAACTGTGAACATGATAGCTAATTGCAGGCAGTGCCATTCTTTTAACCCAGGGGTAATGTGTGCATGGCTGATTGACTCACTGAGCATCATAGCTGCTACCTTCTGTACCATCTACAGCTCTCACGCCAGGCTCAGGGGAAGCCCCATGAAAACCATATGACAGTAGCCTAATTGTGAGGTTTTATGTACCTCCCCAGACACTGGAATCTTTCACCAAATCACTGCTTGGGCCTCCTATAGCCACTGAACCCAGATCACCATTCGCCACAGGCAGGATCTTTCCTTGTAAACCTCCTAGCAAAAGCTGCCTTGCTTCTAAAATGTCACGTTTTCTATAGGGTTTAATTTGGGAATTACTATCAGAGGGTTTTATCTTCTACTATATTTTATCATTGATTATTGTATCTGACCCCTGTTTTTAGACACATATGGTATGTTTTGTATTAGTGTATTTGAAACCAGGAACCACCAAGAGGCAGGAGTGGGGAGAAAGAAATTTGGGATCTGCCCATTCTTTCCATTGGATTTGCAATAGACCACCAAAGGTTCTTCAATCCCAACTGTTAAGCAAAGGGAACAGTGAAAAGCCTCCCCCTTGCACAAAAGTTGCACAAAAGCTTGACAGGGCAGGGGGAACAGGCAGTGGGCTTTTGAATGACAAGATACCATTCTGGTACTGAAAACAAACTCCTGGGTTCAACATGTGCTCAGAGGCACCCTTGAGCCTTTATTCTGAGGGAATGTGTCATTCTGTCCTCTTGCCCCCAGCCAAAGCTACTATTGCAGCAGGTGGACCTTAAGGTTTTAATACAAAACAGTGCTGGTTCTGCAAGCCTGAAGTCTGCCCACCATTGTCCTAGAAAACTTTGGACTTGAAGGACCATGCAAAATGTGCAACATAAAGACAACTCACCAAAGAAGTAGAGAGCCAGTATTGGATTGGGACTCAGAAGATTCAGGTTCTGGTTCCCATTTACTGGATGACTTTGGGCCAGTCATGGATTCTCAGTCAAACCTACCTCTCAGGGTTGTTGGGAGGATAAAAATGGAGAGGAGGCGGATCATGTAAGTCTCAGGTACCTACCAAGAGAGTAAAAAAGAGGATCGACATATAGTAATAAATATGTCAAAAGGGAGATGGGCCTGTTTTCAGAAGTGTTGCTACTGAAAAAAGAAAGATTGACCATTGCCTCAAGCAGCTGAAGGAGACCACTGAGAAAGAGGTTCATGGTGGTGTGGCTGAGGAAACACGGCTTCTGCCAACCTGCATTCCCACCTGGCCTTTCCTGGAACTTGTTTGGTAATAACAGAAGAAAAGATGGAGGCATAATACACAGTGTGACATCATACAAGGACCTTCCCTACTGAAACATGTATTCATTCCATACAAATACTTCTGTCTTGTGCTTCTGTGACAAGGGCCCTCCAGTCTAAATCATTCAGAGCATGGCGTTCTTCCCCTGAGCTGTGTTAGAATGAGGGTGGGTTATTTCTGTGCCGTGAAAAGGTTTGCCTGCTGGTTCCTGCGTACTGGATCTCAACCAAGGGCAGGAGCAGGCTGGGCTCAGAGCATGTTTTGTTTTGTTTTGTTTTGTTTTTGAAGCCAGGTAGCAACTTGGGTTGTGCACTTCTTCTGAGTTTGGGCTGGCCACAGGTTTGTTTTTTGTCTGGCTTTGCTCAGGCACTTTGAACAGTGGCCTGGCCTTGTGACATGAACCATTGTGCCAATGAGAAGCATGAATCTCTCTTCAACTTACTCAGTGAGGCCCCGTTCTCTGAGCATCTGTGACTCCATCCATAATGCAGCGTCAATGATACAGACCTGCCTCACAGGACTGCCATACAGATTATTTCAATTACTATTTCAATCCAATAAATAAAATTACAACCAGAGTATTGCATGAAGCACTCTAAATCTCCCAAAGAGGCCTTCTTACTCTTAGGGTTGCTTTAAAGCAGGGGTCCTCAAACTTTTTCTTAAGGGGGCCAGTTGACAGGAGCCAGTGGTGGGTACGGGCTGCCAAGGTGGTGCCAGTGGGGGGGCGCGGGCCGGTGAGGGGTCAGGGTGCACATGCTTGCATGCGAGGCAGGAATGTGGAGGGCACATGGGGCGAGGTGCCAGCTTGTTCATGAGGAGATCGTTTTCTCCAAGCTAGTCCAAAACTACCTCCTTGTGAGCAAGCTGCTCACCTGCATGCTCACTCAGCGAGTGCAGTTAAATGGGCATGGCGGGCTGGATCCAGCCCGCAGGCCTTAGTTTGAGGACCCATGCTTTAAAGCAAAGGTGGACAACCTGCAGCTTTCCAGATGCTGCTGAACTTCCACCTCTGGTCCGCCTCATCCCACATGCCCACTGGACCAGAATGATGGGAGCTGCAGTCTGGAGAGGAACAGTTTCTACTGCTGCCCCTCCTTGAACCATTAGCAATATGTGATGCTAATGTTTCTACGACACATACACATCTCAGTAAACTGTACAACAACCCTATGAGACAAGGCAGTATTATCCCCATTTCACAGAGGCAGGGCCTGAGGCTGAGAGACAATAGTTTACCTGGGAGTTTGTGCTGTGGGATAATGTGAAATGGTGGGCTTCTTAGTTCACAAATTGGTCTTTGAGCCAGTACGCAAACTGACTTTGCTGAATGAATTGCTTTTAAGATGCTGTTAAAGGAGCAGGAACCAGGTATCAAATAAAAAAGAGAACCGTGTTGCCTACCTCATGTGGTTGTTGTGGGGATAAGACTGAGAACAGGAGGAGGAGAATGATGTAAGCTGCTTTGAGTTCCTAAGGAAAAAAGCAGGATAGAAATCTAAGAAATAAATAAGTGATTCATTTCCCCTTTGTATTGCACCAAACTCCCTGAAAACTTTTCCTAGGCTGTGGGACAGGAAACAGTTAATAAGAAAGTATAAAGGCTTCCTCCTGTATAGAAATACTGTGGGAAGCAGCCTCTGATTTCATCACTCCTGCAAAAGGAATGTGGAAAATCCGCACTGCCCGACACTCCGGTGTGTGGAACCTGAATGGTTCATCCATTCCCCACAGACAGGTGACATGTACCGACAATTCCGAAAGTAGGCTTTGGACTGGATTTAGACTAAGGGAAAGGCAGACTCCAGTCGGATGCATTTGGATCTCCTGGGGAATATGGCTGCGAATGAGTGGTGAGATTACCATTCAGTTCTCCAACCTGATTGACAACAAGTAGGACTCCTCTCTCCAGATGACTTGATTTCTCAATTCAGGGCACACGTCAGCTCAAGAACCTTATTGTTACTCTACAGAGAAGATTATTTCCACTTTCTCTTGTTTTCAAAGCGCGCGCTCTCTCTCTCTGGAAAATGTGGGGTATTCCCTGGTGCTGGGTCTGTATTTCACAGAACTATCAGGGTGGGCATTTTGTCTGGAGGTCCTTTGCCCTTCTCTTCCAAGGCCTGATGGATGACTCCCATTCTGAAGCCAGTCCTGATAGATGCCCTAATTGAACTTCACTCCCCACCATGAAGGCTCCACAGCTAATCTCAACAGACTCTGGATTATCTAGGAAGTTGTTAAGCCCTTCCCAAGCAACACAGAACCTCAGGACAGCTCAGCAAGGAAAACCATGCTGAAGATGCAGCTGGTTGGGAAATAGCTGGGCATATGTCTTCTCTCGGAGGCCAAAGCTTGAAGGATGTTCTAGGTGCAAGGAGTGAGGGTGGGTTTCTTCCATGACCAGGTGTGAGGAGTGATCATGAACACAACCAGAGGCTGTGATGACTTTGCCTGCCTTTGTGATGGCCAGCACCCCTCACTGGACAGTGGTTTTTCAAGTTCAGGGTTTCTGAGTGCTGTTTGGGCTTCTGCACAGATGACTGCCTCTGAAGAAGGCATGGGGTGTGTTAAACCTTGCCCCATTCAGCTGCTTCAAGTCACCAGGCACCTACGAGACATTGATGAGAAATTTCGGCATTTCCGAGAACTTTTTCAGCACAATGGTAAGTATTGGCAACCATTCATTTATTCATGTGTCACAACCTGGTGCTTCCTCCAAGTTGCTCAGAGGGTGTTGAAGCCTCATGACAACCCTGTAAGGAGTGGATTAAGCCAGGAATGGGCAAATTTAGCTATTTCCAGTTTGGTGTGTTTTACCCTTTTGCTTTTCCTCACTCATCCATGCATTTTGTTTTGGGAAACACTTCCCCAAATCGATTTAAATGACCCAAAACTGCATTGCCTCATTGGATAGCAAAGTTGTATTCCATATATTATTCTGAGAAGTTCACATCAGGCTGTTTCATTTAGGGCTTCACAAAGATCAGATTCTGAGTATCCCTAAATTAAGCTTGGCCTTCTCTAGGCTGCCAAACTTGGCCTTCCCAAGGCCCCTGAGGGTTTTAAGTTATGGTTCCCACAATCAAGCCTGATGTTAGAACCACTGATACCATGCTGGCTTTCTAATTTAAACCTAATTTTACTTGGTTAAGTCAACTTCAGTAATTATTCTCAACCCCAATAATCATTCC